TTGGGATGCCAGAGGGCCCTGGTTCGGATCCCACATATGAGGGCCAGTGAAACTGCCCTCCACAGCTAAGATGCTGAACAACAGCTCAACCTGGAGATGGATTGCCGTGAGTCGCCGGCGATGGCGTAGGCTGCAGTCCCTGTGGCAGTGGATTGCCATGGGTTACCGTGTGTGGCCAGCAGCCAGCGTGAGCGGCCAGCAGCCACAGTGAGCGGCCATCCAGAAGCCGGCGACTGATCTGCCTCAGCCGGGAAGAGCACAATGATGGTGCCAACTTGGGCCAGTGAAGCAACGTCCTCCACAGCTAGACTGAAGAACAAAACGACAGCAACTTGTCTGTTCCCCTTCCCCCAGTTCCCCAGTGCTGTTCCCATACCCCCAATTCCCCAATAAAAATCTTTTTAAAAAAGAATAGTTTTAGAACTCTTTAAGCTTTAGTGAAGTAGGAAAATCATGCTATAACCTTATTGTTTATTGTGTTTTATTTCATAGCGGGTTGATTTCAAACAAGTAGAAGAAGTGAGCTTTACTGAGGTAGGGTGATCATAATATGACTTTATTGTTTGCCCTTAGTGTGTTTTATTTCATAGCTCATTAATCACAAACAAAACAAAGAAATCATAAGGGTTATTTTCAAGCCTTCCTTCTCACCTCTAACCCCCAATTCCATACACATACACTGAATTTGATTCACTGAAAAATGAATTCATTGTTTAATGTCTGCTGATAACTCCTAGAGGAAAAAGATACAATTTGGCCAGTGATCCTGTGTATTCTAATCTGCTTTTTTCCTCTGATATTTATTTTAAAAGCCATTTCTTGGAAGCCATTTCTTAAAAGGGTTCATTTTTACCAGCAGTTGTTTGCAATTGTTTATTCTCCCTCAAAATTCTGTCTTCTATTTGTGGCATGATGAATCAGTTGCTGTGGAGATAATTGTCTAAAACTGGATTTAAGGGAGAAGATGTAGCTAAGACCCAGTTTTTATAGGAAAATCTCTAATAATAAAGATGTGGGGATGAGGGAGAAGGGGAAGGGATTAGACAGCATAAATTGATAACTGCAATATTGCCACAGGGATATGAGAGACAGTTCGAGGAATATAATTAATAATGTTGTAAATATTTTGTAGGGTGTCAGATGGTCACATGTCTTGTTAGGGAGACTGCTTCATGGACGGGGTAGAGGCTTGATCACTGCACTGTACACCTGAAGCTGATGTTGTATAATATTGTATGTCAGCTATAATTGAATATATATATATATATATATATATATATATATATATATATATATAGTCACGGGATGTGGAAAAAAAAAAGATGTGGGGAGGTGGAATCTGGGACGTCAGATCTTTAAACCGAATTACTTCTAAAAAACAAACAAGGAATTATAGTTCTTTGCCAATGTGAGCCAGGGCAAATAATGAATAATTGAAGCCTAAGGGTTGCACCTCAGAGAGAGGCCTTTAACACAGAGTTGCAGATTGAAAAGATGAAATGTCACAAGTAATTTGGGGAAAAAATAAGCTTACCGTACAAAAATCTAGATCCTAGTCAAAGATTCCTTCTTACGAGGGGTAAAAAGTATAACTATTGCACTGTGTTGTTCAGTTGAAACTAATTCTAAAAAATGTGTATTTCATAATAAAAAATAATTAAAAGAAAAAAACCAAAAAAAAAAAAGAAGATTCCTTCGTAACTAGCATTACTTAAAGTAGAAATTTGGCTGGATGGATATCTTAAAAAGGGCTAATTATTTGAATCCATTTGTATGTAGGAAAAAGACATTTCTGCAAACCACAGAGTGTTAAATGATTTTTCGGAGATTCTCCCTTCCCATACTCTGGTTCAGAACATTGACTCTCCTGATGTGAAAGAGGGAGTGACAAGACTCCTGAATTCAGATGCTGAAGCTCTCAGTGTCCGTATCCTTTTATACTAAATATAAAGTGTATATTTTATATTTATACTATAAGTGTATTATATTAAGTGTATATTTAGTAATATTTATACTAAATATAAATATTCTGTGTAGTGTGTCCCGTCCCATACGTACTTGCTGACAAGTACTTACTTCTGGCATTTGTGTGCCAATTTTGATGTGTAGAACTTAAGACTTTTGGAAATGTTACTTTCTAGCTAGGAACAGTAAAGTCATGTAATAGAAATGTATTTACTTGTGTAATCCAATATATGGCACATCTCCATACTAGGAATCCAGATACAAATGGCCTGAATTTGGACTAAATTAAATAGCACTTTCAACCAGAGAACCTCTTTCTTGTCAATGGTGCCTTCTCCTTTCTGCTTTTTCCTTGACTGCCCTTTCTTTCAGGATGGGAAGTCATTGCTGAAGGTGAAGCCAAGGACATAGAAAGTCAAGGTTTCATTCCAAGCTTTGAGATATCCCCAGGTGCAAGTGGCTATGAGCAGGGTCATAGCTCTGCAGGTACTTAATAAAGGCAAAGCAGGAGCTTTCAGAGAGGGATGGTGTTGACTGTGTGTAAGACCATTCTCCATGGACTCACAGGATAATCACAGAAAAAGGATGCCTTTGCCCCTCCTTCCTCTTATTGGTCCCTCAGTACTTTAGGGGTTTTAGATTAGGGTTCTAATATCCCATCAATCCCTGGTAATCTAAATTTTTATGGGCCCTTTGATTCTCTAACTATCTTGATCATTGAGTACTTGAATGAATGTTATTACAGTGTTTTGCATTTTGTGTCCTTGCTTTTTGAAGGGAATAATCTTCCTATGAGAAAAATTATTTATAAAATTCATTGGTTGCCTAGGAAACTTGAGGGGAAGGTATGTAATTGCAGCTGGAGTGGGAGTAAAAAATTTCAGTTAGTTTCACCTTCCTCTTGCTTAAATCCAAAAGGATATGGTATGTTTCGGGAGAGGCTCAATCAGTCTACCAGCAGCAGTGATGATGAGGAGGACAGTAGTGATGATGATGATGATGAAGTGGATGATTATGATTATGAGGATGAAGAGACACATTATTATGAAGATAATCTGCAAAGGGAGCTACAGGCCAAGTTAACTGAATTTGGCCAGTGTGAGTTGAAGGAAGGAGCCAGTTCAATAGGTAAGTTAGAATAAAAAACAAAGGGGTAGGGCAGAGTAGGTGGCAGTGCTAAAGATTGACTCTAAATACAATTAGATGAAAGACTAACTTTGAGAAGTTATTGCTTAGATGTGTAGTGGACTTTTCATTGATTTGAAACTCAATCTGCTAGTTTAGGCTATGTTTAGATACATAAAGTTTCTGTCTATCTCTATTAGTCATGGAAATTCAGAAGCAGATTCATTACTTTGAGAAAAAGCTCCAACAGATTTGGCACAAAGAACAAAGACAGAATGAGCTCATCAGGAATGTGGGAAACCTGACACTCAAGGTAAATTCTTGTTGGCTGGTATAAAGATATCTTGGTATCTTACTTTCAAAATTCCATCTTTGTGTTTCCACTCATGTCATCTCTGCAGCATTCTTCTTATTCATTTGTGAACCTAAACAACCTCTTAGAAGCCCCTAATAATAGGCCTATTTCCTTTTACCTGAGTAATTTTTATCATCTCATATAAGCAGCTTTGGGGAAGGGACCAGGAGACTTGAGATAATCATTGCCAATATTGAGCATGTCCTATGTGAAAGGCACATAAAGAGCTAAGCATTTTACAGGTATCATCTCATTTCATCCTCATATCCCTGTAATATAGGTATGGTCACTATTCCCATTTTATAGATAAGGCACTGAAATTCAGAGAGGTTAAGTAACTTACCAAGGACCACAGTAAATGGTAGGGCATAGATTGAATCCTGTTTTTTGTGCCAAAATGTATTCTTTGTAGTGAAAGAAAATTAACTTTATTTTTAAATTTTATGATGCATGCTTGAACAAGAGTAAATATCTTGCTTTTTTAAAAGATTTTTATTGGGGAATTGGGAGATGGGAACAGCGCTGGGGAATTGAGGGAAGGGGAACAGACAAGTTGCTGTCCTTTTGTTCTTCAGTCTAGTTATGGAGGACGTTGCTTCACTGGCCCAAGTTGGCACCATCATTGCACTCTTCCTGGGTGAGGCAGATCAGTCGCTGGCTTCTGGAAGGCCACTCAAGGCGGCTGCTGGCCACTCACGCTGGCTGCTGGCTACATACGGTAGCCCATGGCAACCCACTGCCACCGGGGCTGCAGCCTACGCCGTTGCTGGCGACTCACAGCAGCCCAGCTCCAGGTTGAGCTGTTGTTCAGCATCTTAGCTGTAGAGGGCAGTTTCACTGGCCCTCATATGTGGTATCCGAACCGGGCCCTCTGGCGTCCCAAGCCAGTTCTTAACCACCGCGCCACTCGGCCGGCCCCAATCTTGCTTTTTTTAAATACACATTTTATTAACACACATTTCAACAAAAGGAAAAATCTATGTTTACTTCATGTTTGCTTTCCCTTTATAGTGAGGGAAATTCTGAAGCATCTGGAGAATTCCTTGCCAGATTTCATTTTCTGTAGTGCTGTAATCATTGAAGGAGAGCAAGTTGACACGAAACTATACCTATATAAAGTGTCATCTTTTAGAATAACCAAGTGAGATAATAGATGTGGACACACTTTGAAAGATACAGATACATGGTGTTATTATAATTGTTGTTGCATGCAGTGCTAGTTAGGGATAGTAATATTCTGCCCTCGTTCAGGGAAATGAAGGAGTCAGCACAAAATTCCAAGCCAGCTTTTTAAATAGTTCAACCCAGTCAAAGGATTTGTGCTAAACTAGAAAAAGGCATCCCAACCATTTATTTTAGGACAAGGAAAAAAAATGCTGTGCAGGGATATAAAATCAAATCAATGGTCTTGTAGTTAGGGAGTGCTGTTTTCATACACTAAATCCTTTAAAAAGAGTGCTCTTTTGTTACATCTGACAGTTTTCTTGTCAAATTGTTTGCCAAACTCTTTGTCTCTCTTGGTTCTTTTTTATTGAGTCTCAGCATTCATCATTTATACAATTTGTTTTCCAGAATCATTTACATTCTATGCTGGAGCAGCTTAAGTTACAGAAAAAACAAACAAATGATCAGGTAAGAAGTGTGTTATTAAATCAACCAGAAAAAATTTGGTACAAAGAATACCCCACCGTACCCTCAATCTAATTTCTTGCTGTTCTTTACAGGAATGGTAGTGGTCAAGTATTCTAAATGAGTATAGCAAGTTGCAACAAGGGCTTTGTGAAAATTCACTCATTTAACAGATATTGAATGCCTATATGTGAAAAGCCCTGGATGTAAATACAGTGTTGAATAAGACAGATAAGACAGATGCAATACCTGTACTCATGGAGCTAACAGTCTAGCAGGGAAGATTGACAGTAAACAAATTATCATACAAATTTAAAGGTGCTAATCGTGAAGAAGTGCTGTAAAGGAGAAAAAGTCACTGGTATTACTTGAATAAAGAGAGTCCTGAATTAAATAGTGAGGGGTTGGGGCGGGGGGGAATGGGGGGTTCATGATCAGCCTTCCTGAGGAAGTTATATTTAGGCTGAGACCAGAAGTATAAGTCTAGGCAAAGGCACAGAGGGAATGAAGGGCTTCTTGGATGGAGCATATGCCAGGTCCCACATTGGGAAAAAACTTGACCTCTTTGAGGATGTCTGGAGTATTTAAAGCAAGGAAGGGAGTAACAACATAAGGTTGGAGAAGTAGGCAGAGGCTATACTGTATGGTTCTTTGCCGGCCATGGTAAGTAGGATGGGTTTTATTCTTAAGTACAATTGGAAGTCCTTGAAGAGTTTTAAGCAAGAGACTCACATTAACTTAAACTTTTTTAAAATTAATACTAATGCTATAGTTTTTAATCATATATAATTGACAAAATGACTATAATTTCCACAATCAATGTCTTCATCTAATGTTCAAACTTATTTCATTATAGTGGTTATGTCATATGTACGGAAAGCATTCATTCATTCTTTGGAATCCTGGACTGAGATGTTTATTTTCAAAATACTATCTGATAAGTCAATTTCTTTTAGGTTGCTATTTTTTAAATTAGTTTCAGGTGTACAAAGCAATGTATTAGTTAGACATTTAAACCCCTCATGAAGTGATAACCCATCCCCCCTACCTCTCTGACGTCTTATATAGCTGTTACAGTACCATCAACTATCTTCCCTATGTTGTACTCCACATCCCGTGACTATATATACCTATATATTTAGTTATAGCTGGCATTCAATATTATTCTACTTCAGCTTCAGGTATATAGCGTATTGGTCAAACATCTACGCAGTCTATGATATGGTCCCTCTGATGAGTCCAGTGCCCATCTGGCACCTTATATGACCTTTACAATATTGTTTATTATATTCCCCATACTGTATTAAGTATCAATTTGTATTTCTTAATGTCTTTACCTTTTTCACCCTGTCCCCAACCCCATTCCCATCTACCACCCTGATAGATCTAGTACCTATCAGGCACCATACCAAGTTATTACAGTATTATTGACTATATTCCTTATGCTGTACTTCACATCCCCATGACTACTGTATAACAACCAATTTGTACTTCTTAATCCCTTACCCTTTCACCCATCCTTAACCCCCCTCCTATCTTAAAGAAGTCCCTCTAACATTCCTTGTAATACTTGTTTGGTGGCGATGAACTCCTTCAGCTTTTTCTTGTCTGGGAAGCTCTTTATCTGTCCTTCAATTCTAAATGACAAGCTTGCTGGGTAGAGCAATCTTGGTTGGTTGTCGTTGCTTTTCATCACTTGGAATATTTCCTGCCACTCCTTTCTTGCCTGCAAAGTTTTTGTTGAGAAATCAGCTGAGAGTCATATGGTGGCTCCCTTGTAGGTAGCTAACTGCTTTTCTCTTGCTGCTTTTAAGATTCTCTCTTTGTCTTTAACCTTTGGCATCTTAATTATGATGTATCTTGGTGTGGGCCTCTTTAGCTTCCTCTTGTTTGGGACTCTGTGTGCTTCCTGGGCTTGAATGTCTATTTCCTTCACCAGGCTAGGGAAGTTTTCTGTCATTATTTCTTCAAATAAGTTTTCAATTCCTTGCTTTCTCTCTTCTCCTTCTGGTACCCCTACACTGTGAATGTTGGTATGCTTAATATTGTCCTGGAGGCCCCTTAAACTCTCCTCAAATTTTTGGATTCTTTTTTCTTCTTGCTGTTCTGGTTGGGTATTTTCTACTACCTTATCTTCTACATCACTGGTTGGATCCTCTGCTTCGTCTAACCTACTGTTGATTCCTTGTAATATATTCTTCATTTCCGTTATTGTATCCTTTATTTCTGACTCATTCTTTTTATGGTTTTCATTTCCATTTTTATGCTTCTATCTCTCTGTTGAAGTTCTCCTTGAGATCGCTGAGCATTCTTATAACCAGTGTTTGGAACTCTGCACCTGATAGATTGCTTATCTCCATTTTGCTTAGTTCTTTTTCTGGAGCTTTGTTCTGTTCTCTTATTTGGGACATGTCTCTGTCTCCCTATTTTGGCTGCCTTCCTGTGTTTGTTTCTATGTATTAGGTAGGGCTGCTATGTCTTTTCGTCTTAGTAGAGTGGCCTTATGTAGTAGGTGTGCTGTGGGGTTCAGTGGTGCAGTCTTTCTGGTCACCTGAGCCATGTGCTCCAGGCGTGTCCCTTGTGTGAGGTGTGTGTGCCCTCCTCTTGCAGTTGAGCCTTGGTTGGTAATTACACATCAGTATGAGGGACTTATCCTTGGGCTCACTGGTTGTGAGGACTGGCCATGACTACAGTGGAGTTTGGTGCAGGGGCTGACTCTATGTAGCAGGATCTGCCTCAGCAGGACTCTGGTGTCTGCCCAATCCACCCCTTGGGTGTGTCATTCTTGGAGGTGGCTGGGTGATGCTCCAGCTCATTTTGAAGCTGACCACTGGGGGCGCCAGCTCCAGGATCGCCTTGGAGGGGATCTGCTGTAGGTCAAGTTCAGCCACAGCCTGTGCCTCAGTTGGGGCCACCCAGCGGGAACCAGAAAGAAATCGGCAGATGGCTGCTGCCTGTGCTGTGATTGGAAGCACCCTGAGAGGCCAAGCCACGAACCAAGGCCATCTGCCACTAGTGCTTGCTTAGGGCTGCTCAACCAGAGGTACAGGACATGCTCAGGACAAATGCTGCTTTCCTGTGTTCCACGAACCTTTGAGAGACCCTAGGAAAGCCTGCAGCATGAGCCAAAGCAGGCAGTCTGCATGAAAAAGCCACTAAAAGCAGCCTGGGTGTGCCTGAGAGTTGGACGGGGCCAGGTCTCTAATCGCCAGGGTGGGGTGAATGAATGGTGGAGACTTAGATATGGCGGCCACCTGTATTTGCACTCTGAGAAGGGGGAGGGCTCAACAAATAAACAATGGCCTCCGCCAGTTCCCCCGTCCAGGAGAAAGCCACCTCTTCAGCCCCTGTCCCAAGCCAGACAACTCAATTCCCCACCATTTGTCCCTGCCACCTTTTTAGCTGCTGCCCCAGTGCTGGAGCTCAGAGCAAGTGATTCCGTTGGTGGGTAAGTGCACATGCAGTCACTTTAAGAGGAGTGCCTGTGAGTGCAGCCGCACTCAGCTCACCCAGTCACAATCTTCGCTGGTTTTCACAATAAAAAATTATGGGGACTTCTCTCCCTGGCACTGTGTGTGTGGTGTGTGTGTGTGTGTGTGTGTGTGTGCGCACACGCGTGTGTATATATATCAATAAAAATGTCTTATAACAGCTTTATTGAGTTATAATTCATGCACCATACAATTCACCCATTTATATTGTACAATTCAATGGCTTTTAGTATACTCACAGAATTGTGCAACCATTACCACAATCAATTTTAGAACATTTTCATTATCCCCGAAAGAAACCTGTATCCATTAGCATTCACTTTCTATTTCTTCTGAATCACGCTTACCCCCCACCCCTAGGCCACCACTAATCTACTTTCCACTAGTCTACTTTGCCTATTCTGGATAGTTCATATAAAAAGAAAAATATATAGTCTTTTTTTTTTTAGGGAGTATGTATTGCTTTATTGTTTTTATTTTTTCTTTTTATTTTTTTTTATTGAGGAACTGGGGGAGGGAACAGTGTGGGGAATTGGAGGAGGGGAACAGACAAGTTGCTGTCCTCTTGTTCTTCAGTCTAGTTGTGGAGGACATTGCTTCACTGGCCCACGTTGGTATTGTGATCATTGCGCTCTTCCCGGGTGAGGCAGATCAGTCGCGGGCCATTGGACGTTCGCTCATGGCAGCTCACCTGCCGGCCGCTCACGCTGGCTGCTGGCCACTCACGGTAGCATACGGCAGCCCACTGCAGCCCCACTACAGCTTATGCTATTGCCGGCAATTCAGGGCAGCACAGCTTCAGGTCGAGCTGTTGTTCACCATCTTAGCTGTAGAGGGCACAGCATCACTGGCCCATGTGGGATCAGAACCGGTGGTCCTGCTGTTCAGAACTTGTGCTCCCAAGCCAACTCTTTTTTTTCAAAGATTTTTTATTGGGGAATTGGGGGGATGGGAACAGTGCTGGGGAATGAGGGGAAGGGGAACAGACAAGTTGCTGTCGTTTTGTTCTTCAGTCTAGTTGTGGAGGACGTCGCTACACTGGCCCAAGTTGGCACCATCATTGCGCTCTTCCCGGGTGAGGCAGATCAGTTGCTGGCTTCTGGACGGCCGCTCATGCTGGCTGCTGGCTACACACGGTAGCCCATGGGAACCCACTGTCACAGGGGCTGCAGCCTATGCTGTCGCCAGCGACTCACGGCAGCCCAGCTCCAGGTTGAGCTGTTGTTCAGCATCTTAGCTGTGGAGGGCAGTGTCACTGGCCCTCATATGTGGGATCCGAACCGGGGCCCTCTGGCATCCCAAGCCAGTTCTTAACCATCGCGCCACTTGGCCGGCCCCCAAGCCAACTCTTAACCAATGAGCCACTCTGCCGGCCCCATGTATAGTCTTTTGTGTTTGACTTCTTTCACTTAGCATGTTTTCAAGGTTAACCCATGTTGTGGCATGTATCAGTACTTTATTTCATTTGATGGCTGAATAATATTTCATTGTAAGGATATACCACATTTTGTTTATACATTCATCCATTGATGGACATTTGGATTGTCTCCACATTTTGGCTATCATGAATAATGCTACTATGAACATTTATATATGAGAGAATGCATTTTAAAGGCAGACTTCATGGGAATTGGGTTAATTACCGGGTGTTGAAGGAGAAGGAAGTGTTAAGGATGTGTGCGAGATATCTAACTTGAACGACTGTATTATTTAAAGCCACAAGAGAGTGAGCAGAGTGAAAAGAGAAGAGAGAAGTATGTGATAAGTGAAGGTCAAGTAGCTGTACAGAAAATGTATGCTGACTCCAACTCTATACTGTTGAGGGTAACAATTTTAAAAGACTGGAGGTTGAATTATGAAGATGGGCTTAGCATGGTCTCTAAAGATAGAGATAATGCCGTCCCCATCCCCATCCCTATCCAACAAGGCCAGGGGAATTCTTATGTTCTGTATGTTCCCTTCCCCTCAGCCAATCACTTATCCAAGTACTGCTTATAAACAACCATGTGAATGGTTAATGCCAAGATTGCTTTAGCACCCACTAAAAATCCTTATTTTCATCAATGCAAGTAAATATTGGGGAGTTTTATTTTCAAAATAGAAAGATAGTTGTAATGTTTATTTACTTAGAGCCCTTTACATTAGCTCACTTATCCAATGTATATTTGTTGAGTGCTACTTTAAGCTACGTTCTGTAAGGAGCTACAAAATGCTTACAACAGTCTCTGCCTCCAGTTGGGGAGAAATCCTTGAAAGAGATAGGAATTTAAAGGAATGAGAGCTCACTTTTGTCCATGAGAATTAGGGAAGACTTCATGGAGAGATGGTGTTTGACTGGGGCCTCAAAATGTGGAGAGTGTTTTAATAAGGAGATAGGGAAAGGGCATTTCATGTATAAAGCAGCATGTACAATGGCTCAGAGATGGTGATTTCAGGCTAAAGAGTTTAGATTTTTGATGTAGGTCATAATGAACCATCAAAGATTTTTTTGTTTGTTTTTTTGTTTGTTTGTTTTTTACCTGGGGAGTAACTCAGGAAGATTTCTCTGTCAGCAGTATATAGGAGAAATTAGAGTGGGGAAAGACTAGAGGAAAAATGTCAGTGATAGAAGGAATCAGAACTCAGCAATTGATTGGATTTACAGCACAAAAAGGGGAACAAAGAGTCCAAAGTCTGGGTAACTAGAAAATGGTGTGCCACTAACAGAAATGAAGGTAACAGGTAAGGGGATATTGGGGTGAAGGATGGAGAAGGTGATGAGTTGAGTCGGAAGCATGTTGACCTGGAAGCACTTGAAAATGGGAGATTGGAGAGTGACCCATGCATAGAAATGGTTACTGAAGCTGTGTGGATAGACGAGTTAGCCAGGTTGACTGTTCAACAAGACGTCTGAACCTAGGGGAAAAGCTCCCTTTAGAGGGTGTTGGGAGGAGAAACAGCCCACAAAAGAGAAAGAACTGGAGCAGTCAGTGGTTGTAATCATGGTCAGCATCTGAGTGAAAAGAGTCTCTAAATTACTGCAGGTGGCAATTACAGCAGTTCTGGTAGGTGGTGTGCAGCATAGGATCGTTTTGTAATGCTCCATTCTTTTCATTTCACAGAATGAAAATCCACACTAGTATGGAGTGACCTAAATTGAATAATACTAAAAAAAACATCTTTGTCCTGAATACACTTGAGTGTTATTGATCACTTTGCCATTTCAAGTAAAAAAAAAAAGAAATTAAACCCTACACCACAAAGGGTTCAGGGCTTCTGACACCAGGATAAGTAGAAAACACCATCGGGCTCCTGATTGGTCAGGACTCTGAACCGGTTTCTAAGTGTCTCATAATGTGGCAAGAAGCAGCAGCTAAGACCTGGTATAAGACCAAGTGTGTTCAATGAGACAAGAAGCTTTCCCAACTGCCTTATCTCTGACTCTTAGAATATAGCTACAGTGATTCCCATCTCTGTTGCCCCTACACTGAGCTGTGACCTCTGTACACTCTTTCCAGAAGTACAAATTCTTAACAGCAAGCCTATTTAATTTTTTCACCATATTCAATTTTAAAGCTTCCTTTTATAAGTTTGGCATAATAAAGGGCAATATCATGCCCACAGCATTGTGTATGCATTCGTGACTGTGGCACTGTTCTTTGGAATATCACAAGACTAAGATTACCTTATATATGCCAAATTACAGTAGTTCTTCTTGGTTCATATAAGCAAATTCTTTTTTTTAATGAAAGTTTATTGGGGTGACAGTTGTTAGTAAAGTTACATATAAGTAAATTCCAGATAAAATAGTGGAACTTAGGATTACAGATGAATGTTTCATGTTTTACTGCTTCTCTCCCTACAGCTCTCTTACCTACAGGAAAAACTGAAGTACTTTCTGGAGAAGTAAGGAGAGCCTTCAGCCTGGCACGAACCTTGGATGCCCCATGCAGACTGAAGACTGCGTGAAATTTCGTTTCTGTTTATTTCATTGCCTTATTTTGAATCTTTTTTTTTTAGAGGGCAGTGCCACTGGCCCTCCTATGTGGGATCCGAACCGGGATCCTCTGGCGTCCCAAGCCAGCTCCCAACCAACGCGCCACTCGGCCAGCCCTTGAGTAATTTTTATTATTTGTTTCTCTGAGCCATTTTTACTAATTATATTTGAAGTTTGTAGTCATGTAGAAAAGGACAGAATATAAAAAAATAGTAGACCGAAAGACCCAACTCAACTATGAGACTTTGCTTCTCTTTATGAATTTGAGAATTACTTACATTGCTATGTTCTGTGGTGCCTTCAGATGATTCAGCCATGCTTGCCAAAGACACAGTCTAGACTAAAGGCCATACAGCTGGTTTGCATATGTTTTAGCTTTTCCTTCGGTTTGTTTTAAATATTTCCTAAATCACTGAACAAATCAAGTAGTTTTTAGCAAGGGCTGGGCCTGGGCACAGTGAATTTAAGTGCCTACCTCTTGGCAGCTATTATAGTAGGCTGTGTCCTGTCTCTGTTCATGTAATAGGGGCTGCTTTCCTGCTCAGGGATGATTTCTTACTACTATTTTTATTCTGCTGTTGTGTTTTTAGGACTGTGGCTGGTTATTATTTGCCAGTGAATGAAATAGTTAGAGCAGAGATTAAATTCTGAGCTGTTTTACTTATTCTGAGCCTCTTCATCCTAACCCCCATCGGAAAAGGTTAGGAAAAACCAGATGCTTGTGAAGACTCCTTTAAAACCTCTACGTGGTTTTGTTTTCTTAGCTGTAGTGTTAAGGTTTCCACTCTGTATTCTTCAAGCAATAAATAAATTCCTCATTTTAAATGGATTGCTGTCACTTTATTAAACCACTCACATAATGAGTGCACTCATATCCAAATGGAGAGACAAGCAGTAAACTCTATGATTAGGAAATGCCACATGATGCTATCAGTACTGAGGCTCCTTCTAAAGAGCTCTTAGGATAGCTTCTAATGATCTAAGCAAACCATCTCGGGCCGGCCGAGTGGCTTAGTTGATTAAGAGCTCGCTCAAGAGTTTGAGCTCTGAGCAACAGCGGTTCGAGTCCAGCCCGAGCTGAGCAGCCGCTGAGCTGCCAACAGGTAGCAGGATGGCTCAGCTTAAAAAAAAAAGTGGTTAAGCAAACCATCTCTTATTAACCGTATAGCATTGGGATTTCAAGAGAGGGTAGAGGGAAGTGGTAAAAATGGCAGCTCCAACATTTTTATTGAATTAGGTTGTAGTGGAACAAACACAAGGTTGGAATCCCAGCTCTGCCACTCACCTTGGGCAAGTCCCTACATGTCTTAGAGCCACTATCCACTCATCTGGAAATCAAGGGTGATAATGCTAATTAGCAAAAGGCATCTGAGGATTTTCTGGAAGTAGCTCAGCTAGATCCAGGTCTGGTCCCAATTGATGAAGCCGGTACTGCTCTAGGAAATGTACTCCCAAGTTTTCTCTGCCAGTTTTAGTGCTTGGATTCCAAGTTGAAGTTAATAAGCCAAGGGCAGAGAAGAGGAGGTCACTATGTATGGGCAGGTCTATGGAGGAGGGATGAAAACAGAAGGGCTAGTTAGCTGAGGGCTAGTACAGGGAAGAAGTGGGACTAAGGGAGACAGACATGTTAAGGGCAAACAAAATGAAGCCAAGATTAGGAGAGAAGTTAGAAAACAGCTTGAAAATCAAGATGATATAAAAAGCAATTTCTCTTCACTCCCATAAACCCAGAATTTAAAAGATGAGAAGAGAATGGGGGAAAAGAATTGAGTGTCAGAGCCAGAAAGTGGGGGAAGAGGCGGCGTTTGAAAAGCAGATAAGCATTAGACAGTTCATGATGTGGTCTCCCTAATAAGACAAGTGCCCATCTGACCCCCTACACAATCTTTACAACATTATTGATTATATTCCCCATACTGTATTTCATATCCCCATGATTATATTGTGACTACTAATTTGTACTTTCTAATCCCTTTACCTTCTGCCCCATCCCCATCTCCCTCCCACCTAGCAACCCTCAGTTTTTTTCCCCCCTGTATCTTTGAATCTGTTTCTGTGTACTGCGCTGTACACCTGAAGCTGAAGCTGAATAATATGGAATGTCAACTATAATATATATTTATATATAGTCACAGGATGTGGAGTACAGCATAGGGAATAGTCAATGGAATTGTAACAGTTATATATGATATCAGAGGGGTACTAGATTGGGGGAGGGGGGTTATCACTTTGTGAGGGGTGTAAATGTCTATTACATGGTTTTGTACACCTGAAACTAATAAAAAAAGAAAGAAAAACAGGTAGCCCTTTTCAGATGAAAGAAGGCAGAGGACTGGAATAGAAACAGATAAAAAAAGTACCCTGGGGACATGACTGGAGAGACTGAGGCCAGTGAAGGTGGTGTTTATGCAACGGGTGGCATCCAGGGGTGACAGAGGTAGAGGAACCCTGTCCAGCCTCTGCCTGCACTGCAGCCCAAGAGCAGCCAGAGCTCTGCTGAGAGGCAGGGAGAAGACAACAAGAAGGGGCAAGGTCAAAGTCATGTGTCTGCAGGACCCTTTCATTCCCTCTGCTACCATGTCTCATTGTATCCTGGGGTAACTGCTTCACTACTGCCTTCCAGTCCCCCAAGGCTTATTGCTGCCCTGACTCTCCACCCACCCCAATACACACACACATATGATACCCCATAAAATTTTCTTTATCTATAGCCCAGTGATTCTGACTTTTGCAAGTTAACAGACCTGCACTGTCCAATATGGTATCCACTAGCCACATGTGGCTTCTGAGTACTTCACATACAGCTAGTCCGAATTGAGATGTGTGCTATGTATAAAATATACACCAGGTTTCTGTAGGGGGGCTGCTCTGCGTCGGCACCCTGATGACCTTGCACTATCCACATAGGCCACGTAGGCAAAGCTCAACTGCAGGCTGCCCTGGGCTTTGGCGGAACACCCTGTAACACTCCCAGAACACAGGAAGATAGGCAATCTCATGAGCTGCTACAAGATTATTCTCACTTACCTCCCTATCTTGAGGGAGGCTACCATGAGGCAGTTTCTCATCCCCCTCTCTCATTCTGGTGAGGCATGGGACTTCCTGCCTACCTCCCAGTCCCAAAGGTACATCTGCAAGCCATAAAGCTGCTTAACTGCAGCAACAGGCTGCCCCACCATCCATGATGCATGTCATCGGGCCCCTTTTGTTTCAGTGTTGTCCTGTGGGACATGGGATGCAGAGAGTTGATACCATTGCTGTTCATGCTTTTGCTGTCGATATAAGTAATAAATACATTTTCTGGATCTATGTGGGTTTCTTGCTTCGTTACCAGCAGAATCTGTGAGGCTATTTGACAATTTATAAGACTATTTAAAAACAAAGGAGGCCGGCTGAGTGACTCAGTTGGTTAAGAGCTTGCTCAAGAGTGCGAGCTCTGAGCAACAGGGCTGCCAGTTCAATTCCCACATGGGCCAGTGATGCTGCACCCAAACTGAGCTGCCACTGAGCTGCCAACAGGTGGCAGGATGGCTCAGTTGGTGAGAGCTCCTGCTCCTAACAACAAGGTTGCCTGTTTGAGATGGTGGGCTATGCCTGCCCGCAACTAAAGACTGAACTCAGGACCTTGAGCTGAGCTGCTGCTGGGATGGCTCAGGGGATAGAGCGTGTGCTCTTAACAACAAGGCTGCCGGTTCAACTCCCACATGGGATGGTGGCTACGCCCAATGATGGCTATGCCATCATTGATGATGGCAACAAATTGAACATAGCACCTTGAGCTGAGCGGTGCGACTGGACTTGGAGCTGAGCTTGCTGCGCCTTCTACAACTAAGATTGAAGGACAACAACTTGGCTGTTTCTCTTCCTCAATTCCCCAACACTGTTCCCCTCCCCCAATTCTCCAATAAAAAACCAAAACAAAACAACAAAAAAACCCACAAAAGAATATAAAATACTTCATTAATAATTGTTGTACACTGATTATATGTTGAAATGATAATACTTTGGATATAGTGGGTTAAATAAACTGTATTATTAAAATCCATTTCACCTGTTATTTTTTTAAATATGGCTACTAGAAAATTTGAAATTGCATATGTGGCTCACATTATATTTCTATTGGACACTGTTGTTATAGATTGATGATGGTGAGAAAAGAACATTTTGTGGTAGGCAAGAAGGACAGTTTTATTTTGCCAGAAAATGGCATTTGTAAAAACTATCACCACCCATTCACAGGGACATTTTATATATAAATGCAAATATATGTTTATTTATTTATATCCTTACTCTAACTCTAAGGGCTAGACATATAAATTGAATAAATGTAACTTTATGGAAACTCATTGCGCTCCTTTTTTGCATGCTGCTCCAGGTTGGTACAAAATTCCTCAGACTGATGAGGATGGTACTGAAGAACCATTGCCATAAAGAGCTCATCCTGTGAGGGGATAACGAGCTAATTTATATGAAGCCTTAAGAGTCAACCACTCTAGGTAACTGTGGTGGATGCAGATAGTGAGGTGTCTTTTTGGTCCAATAGGTGTTGGACCAGGGAAGGAGGTGTAATATCAGAGTCAAAGAGTATAACCAGAGGAACCAAAGTGAACAAATACAAATTTATTCTTTTCAAAGCAGAATTCAAGGGAAAGAGGACAAGCACCACAGTGAGTGGCAATGAAAGTTAACCAATTTGTTTCCAGCCCTGCCCCTTACTCCCAGACTTCTAGACTTTATGCACCACCCTTACCACCTCCCCCAAATCCCTTCCCCAACTCCCATCCTCCGTGACCAGTTCTTGTAGCCAGCAAGCAGCAAAGCGGGCTTCAGTCTGGCCTCAATACTGCCCTGGGGACAGCAAGGACATTCAGCACGTCACTCCCACCACCCCCAAATGCAGGAGGTGTGGGAGGAGATGGAGGCTGGGAGCTGAGCCCTGGCCTTGAGCCTCCCCTTCTCCCACAGCATTGTTGTTAAAAGAGTAAGAAGGAGCTGAAGTATTCCTTTGTTCCCAGGGCTGAATTTGGGCAGGGAGGCCCAGAGATAAAGGTGCCCCACTGAGCAGCTAATTCTCCATAGCCCTAGAGCAAAGTCCCCAGTTTCCCTCCTGGACTGTTCCTCTTAAGGCAGCTACTTTCTTGATTATCTGTCACCTATAGCAAAGGAACTTTGATGAGCTTCTTGGCCGGAAATGTTCTCAGAAGCCATAAGTCTACCAGAGAGAATGTGTGTTGAAGGAACACTGTAGCCTGAAGCTGGATATGGAGCCCAGATCCTAAACACACACCTCAGGCAGTCCAGGCAGTCCTTAAATGAACCTGGAGGCAAAACATCTCCCAAGACTGGCCTCTGTCTGCCTCCAAGGTTTCTCATGACTGCAGGTCTGCCAGCCCAGCTCTTGGAGCATGAGAACTGAAACAGGTTTCTGCGCAAGAAAATATTTCCAAACTTGGAGCCTTGAAGGAAATGGGCACTTGAGAGCCTGGATTTCAGACTTTGCATTCCGGAGGGAAGGGCACTTGTCCTCCTGGGTAGGGCCCTCCTTAGGGAACGATACAGCCAACAGCCCGATGTCCGCCAGCCACTCAGCCTCCCCTAACAATTTCCCAGTCAACATGCTCTCGCTTTCAGCAAAGGCACCCTCGTAATGACTTTTTGGCCTCTACCAGATTCTGCGGAGAATAAATCGCCTAGCAATATTAACTGGTCCCTATACAATTTGACAACAACCCCAGCAAACACTCACCTTCTTTATCACAGATGCTAATCCCGCAAGTCTGAGGTTTTCCTCAGGCTGCCTACCCAGCAACTCCCCTCACCATACTTCCAGTCCAGGGCCATACACTGTGCAGCATCACACACAATGCCACTAGGTGACACGACACATAACAGATCCCGAACAACATACAACACATCTCTGTCAATCCCACCCTGATGTGTATTCACAGTGCCCAAGGATCCATTTACCTGACTGCGCCAAACTGCCCGCATATACTGCAGTGACTGTCACTGGACCCTTGAGTGATATACAGGCATACCTCGGAGATATTTCGGGTTTGGTTCCAGAGCACCACAATAAAGGGAGCTGTAATCATTTTGCAGGTGGAGAGTCCTGCCTTCAACTTGTAAAAAATGCAACATCTATGAAGTGCAATAAAGCGAAGTACAATAAAACGAGGTATGCTTGAACTCACCTCGGGCATTAAGGTAAATACAGGACCACAAAGTGTTGGTGACCCCATTAATGAGAATTCAACTCTTGACTTGCTGCTTCGGTCCACCTACAGCACAAATCCTACATAATGAGATCTGCATCTCTCCTACCATGCCTGGCCCACTGCAGTTGCCATAGGCCCTCAGCAGCCCAAGATCTCTTGAGTGGAGTGGGGGTTATGGAAAGGATTTTCCAGGGCTTTCCTGGTAAAAGATTGTTTCAGCACATCTACCCTCCTAAGGCTTAGGCAGGCATGCCTCAAAGACCCTGAGCTCCCTGTTCTATAGCAAATTTCTTCTATCCCATTCCTGCACACAATCTAGGCCCCTACGGATATAGCTTCTCCCCCCTCACAGGAAGATGCTCAGGCTGTGTTTGATGCCCTACTACCGGCTCATCATACATCCAGACACCCAAGTCTTCCTGCCAGAGACCTCGTGAGCACTAAGGTACACGGTGTGAGGAGGTCTGACATGCTGGGCCTGTGGCTTAGTGCCCCCTGCTGGTTCTAGAAGAAGGCAATGCAGGCTTTTGGACCCAAGCTGCTGCCCTCCCTCCCCTGCAGCAGATACATCTAGTTTCCCAGCAGTTCTACCCACTGGCCCACTGCTTCACTGCAACACAGCACCCCGACCACCTCACACCCTCCTGACCTCAGTGGCGACCGCAGCTCTCTTCATGGCCGAGCCAGACTTAAAAACTGGAATGGGTTAGAAGACATACTCTGTGTCTTCGCCTGACAAAGGCTAATAATAAAAGCCTATTTCTTCCTTCTTTTCTGTATGGGGTGAGTCAAGCCTTGATTTGTTCTATTTTGGTACCTGAACCATTGTTTAGGGAACCCAGGAAAATTCCTCCAAGGCCCAGGTCTCAAGGGAACAAGATTTGGAGTGAGTGAAGAGAAGAGACTGACTCTTCCTGTTAGATTTCTCTGTGGCCACTGGCTTCTGTTGCTTTGGTTTTGAAGACAGCTCACCCCAAACATGAATGGAGAGACATCCTAGGGGAAGTAGCCAGGACGCATCTATCTGTTCAACCAGAGGTTTGGGCTAACAAAGAGCAAGGCAGAACATTAATACTTCAAGAGCTATTAGAATTTAATGTGTGAGTGAGGCCAGGGGAGTACTGATGGACAGTAGATATGTAGGATAGATATGTATTGGGTCGTAGGGAAAGTCATGACATATTTTTCTATGTTTTTCAATGCAAAAATGCGTTATGACTTTCCCGGTGACCCAATATGTATATAAACTTAGGCAAATGAAGTCAGTTGTAGGGTTCTAGGTTATAGAGTTTTTTTATAGAAAGCTGCCTAAGTGGGCTCTGACTCTGTTCAAAGTTCCCAAGCCCACTGCCTCCTCCCCTTGCTATCTAGTCTGAACATTATTTGGAGAAAGGTATATGTTGCCTAGGAAGAGTTAGTGCAGTTTGAGGGTTGGTTTCACCTTCTAAAGTTAGAGAGAACAGTTTCATGCAAAGGAAGACCCTGCTGTTGCCTGGGTGGAAAGTGGTCAGTGGCTCCTAGAAAGGGTCCACTATTCAGGGAGGCCCATTGCATCTGCCTTATGATCAGCTGGGGAAAGTCAGTCACCTCCTCCCATTCAGTCTAAAAGAAACAAAGGTCACATCTTGCTTCTAAAAAAAGCAAGGGTATTGGGCAGTCACACTCCTCCATGTTAATGGGTGGCTTTCCCTCCTCATCCAAGGAAAGACCCTCTTGCTAAACAAGCAGCTGGCGCTCCCCCAGCTGGTGAGCACAGACTCAGAAGATCCAAGGGGGGCTTCAGCTGATCTCTCAGGATGCTGAGGCCCTCAGGAAAGAGGAGGATCAGGGAGAAAAAAATCTAAGCTCATAAGTATTTCTTTGATGTTTCCAACTATAAAGTGGAAGTAGGAGTCAGAATGAACTGCTCCCCCCTGGAGGAAGGTCGGCCAGGGACTGGGGCAGAGGAACTGTAGATATTCGAGGAGGAAATAACATCTAGGTAGGATCAGGATGGCTAGAGATAGGCCCTCGAGCTGAAGTAACACGACACATGCTGCCCAGAGTTTTTCAGGGGCACTTTGGTGGAGAAGTGGTGTCGTGGGGATACCCTTTTGTCTCCCTGAGTTGGGCCAGAGAGTAGGGCTAACTCCTGTGGATTCATAATGCTGGAACCCTGGGGACATTAGGTTTCCCAAGCTCTATGATTCCATGGAGAAGGAAAGGCGCCAGCGGGCACTGCTTAGCTCTGCAAGGCAGCTTCTCTGCTCCTCATCTGAACGGCCTCCAAGTGCTGTTTGCCTGGGCTGCAGGAGAAGTGAACTTAAGGGACTGGTCTCAAACTTGAGGATTAAAGGGCACATTTCTGGGGTCAGAGGAATCACGCCTCTCCCTCCGCTGGCCAGCTAAAGGGCAAACCCACAGCATTTGTGTCTTCCCTGGCCCCCACACACCCACCTCACATACCACCAGATCCCTGCTGCTGCCCAGAGCCCAAATAACTCTGGCTGAGCGTTGCGGGGCCAGTGGGGACTGGAAAGGTTGGGTGAAGGCTGAGGGAAGGCTTTGACCAGAACTGGGAGAGGATTGTGGATGACAGGATGGGGATCTGGCTCCATCACGAGGCCAGCAGGGTGCTGGCAGTCACATCAGAGCTCCGCACACTGGGGAAGGCGTGGCGGAGCTTCTCCATGATGTCCTCCAAGCACAGGCTGACGTCTTGGCTCTTTGACCCCACATCATCTGCGTTGAAAGAGAGAAATTTCAGGTGAGAACTACAGGTTCCCCGATGAGGCCAGGGGGCCGAGGTAGGATGTGGCCAGCTGAAGTGCAAACTCACAGCATTTGTGTATTCCCAGCATAATGCGTAGTACAGGGGAGGTGCTCAATGTACATGTATAGAATAAACAAATGAATGAATTGGTCAATAAGCCAATCAGCCCTGACACTAAGCTCAAAGCCATGAAGAAAAACCAGTCCCAGCCCTAGCAGAACCTTAGGCAGGAGATCTGGGGCAGGACAAAACATGGAGGAAGGGGCTGTAAGGGGCTGGGGGAACTCACCTGCAGCCTCAGTGTCTGGTGTAGTCTGTCCCTTCTCCTGGGGGTGACTGCCTTCTGACTGCTGTGGAGATGAAACTAGGGACGAGCCTGCAGAGCCATTGCCATCTGATTCAGTGGGTGGCTAGCAAGAGGTAATGCATGACTTAAGTGGCTTTGCCTTCCAGACCTTGCTTCGAAAGACTCCTGAGCTTAAAAGGGGCCTTAGATATCCCATGCCCATTCCTTTGCCCTTGGACTTTAAGATAAGACACTGGTAGTGCCTCAAACAGTGGCTTCCCCTTTAAAGAAACTTCTTAGAATATTCAATTACCAATTACTTTCTTCCTTCAACAACATATGTCAAAGTCTCTCAGTTCTTATAAGAATGGCATTGCCCCTAAAGGTCTCTTGTTGTAATTTCAGCTATAATTAAACTATTTAAAACCCAATTCTCTCTGGAAATGTAGAGTTGCACACTTGATCTTCAGTTCATGACATATCATATATTAGAGACCTCCAGGCATGTAGAGGCCATCCCTTGGAGAATCTGGGGAAGAGGCAGGGGGTGGTATCACCTGGTACATATAATGACAATAATAGGTAACATTTATGAAGTGTTTACTATATTCCTGGCATCATGTTAAATTCTTTAAATACATGATCTCACTTATGTTCACCACAATTCCATGAAGTTGGTATGTTATTATCTCTGTCTGACAAGTGAGGATACTGGGACTTAGTGAAGCTAAGTAACTTTCCTAATACCCCACAGCCAGTAATTGCAGAGCCACATTCGAACACAGGGCTGTCTGACTCCAGAGCTACACTACATCATATACACTGCCTCTCAAAGAAGAAAGACACAAAAAGTAACAAGAGCTCCCTTCACAGCAAACATCTTTCTCTTGTGGAGCATACCCAAATCTGCTTTTCTCCAGCAAACATCATAATAGCAAAATCAATGCTCTGGATGAGTCTTTGAACTTTGTTCTTTCCATACTGGGTTCAAATGTGTTGTGGGGATGTGAGCTCTCAGAAGGCCTCCCTCTGCCCCAGGCCCCACAGTGTCTTGGGCCCCACGAGGGTGGAGTGGAAGCTAAGTGGAAGAGAACTGGCCCAGCAGCGAGACCTGCAAGCCCCTTCCTTTCCCACCTTCCCCAACTACCAGCCCAGTTCTCTTCAGAAGGTCATTTAATAGCCACTGCCAAGGAGCACTTTCTTCCCTCCCTGGTGCCACACTCCCCAGCTCCCCAGCTCTCAGGAGCTGCTCTGGTCCCTGCTCTGACTCCAGCCTTACCTGCAGGAGCAGCTCCCTTAAACGCTGCAGCTGGGACTCTAGCTGCTTGTTGTGATCTTCAAGGATCTGCATGCGTGTCTCCAGGCGGCTCTTGTGTTGCCGAAGGATCCGGGCCTCGGCCAGAAGCTCTTCATTGCGGTGGTCCTGTGATGCCTCAGTAGAGCCCTCAGCCAGGGTGGGTGCCTCAGCAGCCTCCTCATGCTGCCACTTCAGGCGTCTCAGCTCTCCCTGGAGAATCCTGCCAAGACCAGAGAAGCCAAGAAGCATGGCCCTAACGAGGTGTTGACTGTCAGGTCCCAGATGCCCCTTCATATCTAGGTGTGAGCAATCCCTTTGCTCTCCCAACCCCATCCCCACCCCAGCCGGCTTCTTGCTTAAATGGCCATATCCACTTCCTCTGCAGCACATATGTCATTTACTCTGCCATCATTGGGCTTCAGAGCAGAGGGAGTTGACATTTCATATAACAAATATCTCCGGGCTTTGATGTGCTGCCTCAGGGGTTAATGTTGACCTTAAAATCAGGCAGAAACACAGTTTGCAAATAAAGGAGGCATTAGGGCCACCGACTCAACCACTCCATTTAAAGATTTTTAGATTCCAGGGGAAGACATAACATAAACAAAAGATCACCCATCTTGCCTCTTCTGTCAACTACCTTCCTCTTTGGTCTACTTTGAACACCATGTTGAGTCATCAAGAAAACATATTCCAAAGAGATGGTCTACTTTGGGGGGCATTACTGTTTTCTTTTTTGCAACAGAATTACACTCTCTCCAATGTTTCATAAGGCCCACCCACTGCTGCTCTAATGTTATGCTTCTCATACTATCCATAGTATGGATAGTATTGGGGGGATCACTTCGTAAGGTATATAAATGTCTAATCACTGTGCTGTACACCTGAAACTAATATAACATTGTATGTCAACTGTAACTGAAAAAATTAAAAAAAAAAACTATCCATAGTGAAAACCCAGGGGGATTTTTCAATCCACTGTGGACCAATAAGTGGTCTGAATGTGCATAGCTAGCACACAGCTCACACCACACATGACTTGCCACATAAGTTCAACAACCCTCAAACTGGTCTATACCTTACTCAATGAAGACAAACCCACTAATTATGTGCTAGGATGTCATGGCAATGTCAAATTGCTATGAAAGTTTCTAAAGGCTTACTCTTTATTTCTGTATTTATTTTGCCTTGAACCAGTAATAGACAACTCACAGACTGCCCCTGTTCTGAGGACTCCAAGTACAGCCTGTGGGCCAGCGGCATGGGCATGCCCTGGGAGCTGGTTAGAAATGCAGGAACTCAGACCCCACCCCAAACCTCTGAATCCAGATCTGTATCTTAGTGAGCTCCCCGAGTGACTTGCATGCTCACTAAGTTTGAGAAGCACTGTTCTGAGCGATACTGCAGATTCTACTACGTGCCCCCAGAGTGGCTTGGGCCCTCCTGAGGCCCCTCCTGCCACCGCTACTTTATGGAGATTAATGCCATCCCTGTCATCTTCACGTTCCCTCTTCCAGTCCTCAAACGGGCTATGCAGTGTCACTTTCCTCTTATTTTATTACTTTCATAAAGTGCTAAGTATCTCTTTCCATTCCAACCCTCAACGTTCCTTGAAAGCAGAGTCATGTATGCTCTTCTGTCTATATTCACCTGGCTCACATTTTTTCTGCTTGCAGCTAGTGGGTATTTGGAAATATTTGGGTTGAGCTGAAAGGATTCAAATAATTACTAGAACAGCTAGCATTTATTAAATGCTTACTGTAAGCCAGACACTGGCCAGTACATTATATGCCTGATCATTTGACCTTCCCAAGTGCCCCTATAAGGGAGGTACTATTATCATCATCATCCCCATTTTACAGATGAGGAAATGGAGGGTCACAGAATATACGGAACTTGTTCAAGGCCACAGAGCTAGGATGTGGAAGTGCCAGGACTTGAATTCAAGCTGTCTAGTCTAGAACCCACACAGATCTGTGTCACTGTCATACCCACCGATTCTCATCCTCTAAGTGGGCCAGGATCTTCTCTAGCTCCCCCTTGCTTTCTGTGGCCATGCTGCATTGAGCCTGCTGTCCGAAGCCTGGCTCCCGGTCTGTAATGGGGCTGGAGTGCCGTAAGAGGTACTGGTCCTCGTCTCTGCTTGAGTGTGGGGAGAGAAAAGGAGGTGGCCAGGCACTGAACTGAGAAACAGCTCAGGGCATGAGTTCTCAGCTCACTGCTCAGGCCTCAGGACATGCAGGCTGGAGGATTCACTTCTAAGTCATATAGAGAAGGAAAGGCCATGTATTCAGGGTTAAGAGGGAGGAAAGTGTTCAAAAGTAGCAGAGGTCCTGGTTGGGGGTCGTAGGAGACAGTGTTTCCAGGATGCTAGGGTCTCTGGGTTCTACTTAAAGCCCCTGGGAAAACAATGAGCAAATCACTTTGTGTGCTGCTCCCTCACCCCACTGACTCTTCACTTCCCCACCCCCAGGTGGGGTCACTGCCTGTTTGAGTCCCAGTCAAGGCCAGACTGGTCCAAGGAGCCAGCAGCTCCTAGGCCCTCTGAGCAGCCCAGGTACCTCTCTAGAGACGAATGGCCCCTTTTTGGGGCTACAGCACCATGGAGTCTCTCTGGCTACACTTCAGTCAAGTCCCTGGTGTCTCCCCAGGGTTGGTGTGGCACTAGATGGGGCTTTGGCATCCTTAGCATAAGCGAATGGCTCATTTATGCAACTTTATAAGAGAACATATTCTTCTTCCCTCAAAGCTGGGCATAGAAGGATGGGACCTTGCAACAGGAAGGGGATCTGGGCAGAGGGCAGGGAGGTAGTGCACTATTTATTCCACGGGTCAGCAGACAGAAGGCAGACTGTTTCTCTTACGAAACAACATGCCCAGAAAGTAGCTTTCCTTCCTTAGAGCACCGAGGACCCTACCCACCACACCCCCACCCCTTGAGGCTGTACCCTGTCCAAACAGTGGCAGAGGGACCCTAAAGAGAGCTATTCCTGGAAAAGAAGCAGCTGTGGAAACTCACATGCTGTCATCTGGGGACAGGCTGTCATTAAAGAAGGAGCAATTTTGACTTTCCATCTCAGCAAGCCTGGGGAGAAAGAGCAGGAACAGAAGGGAAAACAGGATGTGGGCCTGCTTTCATCAGAAGGACTCTAATCCCAGAAAAGGATCATCAGTTTTGGGGGGCTGCCCCAACCACCCTTAAGTGTTGGGCCTCACTGGCTGCCCCATACCCCACTGTGCACGTCCCCCTGGCTCTGACTCCAGTCTCTGAAACCCCTTCCCCACGAGACTCCTTACAATCCCTCTCCCCGAAATCTCATGGTACCTGCTGGCAAAATGCTCAATGCGGGAGTGTGTGTCAGCGTGTGGCAATCTCGGGGAAGAAGCCGGCCTAGAAGAAAGCAGCAAAGACTCAGAGGATCAGAGATTGGGCAGCCTGTTTCCTCACCACCACCCTCCTTGCCCCCTGCCACCAAATGGGGGAGACGGGCAAGAGCTGATGGGAACAGGACACCTAGACTGGATTTACAGGGTCTATTTCTCAGACCAGATTCCTGGTCACACCCAGGTCGAACAGCCCCCTAGCCCACGTGGGACTTGGCCCCTTTGCATCCCCGGGCACAGCAAGGCTGCCCACAGCCCCTGCCCAGCCACTGGTACTCACGTCTCACTGTAGTCAGACTCCAGCACTGATTGCACAGGCAGATAACCTCGCTGAGGGTGTTTGCTGAAATAATGCTTTGAGCGGAATTTGTTCTTTAAGGTTGTGGCAAAGTCCCTCATGTTCTCACTGGATGTGGTCTGAGTGGAGAGAGGGTAGGACTCACCTTAATGGTTTCGGGATATGCTGGCGGAGGTATGGCTGCCCCCCTAGAGCAGGGAATGGGACTGGTAATCCACTCTTGCTCATGCCTACCACACCCCGCTCCTAGAGAAAGGTCTAGAAGGACACATGCCAAACTGTGAACACCGGCTGCCTTTGAGAAGTTGGACAGGAGGGGTGTGGACCAGGCTGAGGACAGAGGAGGACTTTCATTTTATACTTTAAACACCTCTATATAATGTGGATCATTTATAATGAGCTCATGTTTGTGAATTTTTAAAAAATCATTTATATAAATTCTAGGAGTATAGAAGATGAGCAGGAGGTAGAGGATTATCAGGCTACCATCTTGAGCCAATCTCCCATGACTATTATGTTGTTTACTTGAAAATGATAATAAAAGAAAAATAAAGGGCAAGGCCCCTAGTCCCACTGGGTCACATGTGTTTCTGTACCAACAGAACTTGGAGAAGGTATGACAGCTTGGGGGAATGGATTGTGGGGAAACAGTTTGAAAGATGGGGTGGTAGGATGGGAGAGAGTCCACTCAGGCAGCAAAGCCTGAAGCTGTGGATCGTGAACACAGCAGAGGAGAAATTCTGTGGCTGGAGTTCAGGGATGCTGACCAACCTGGACTCAGGTGGCTATGAAGGGCACAGTTTCCAGTGAAAACCAAGTGGCACTGGGGAGCCAGGTAAAGAACATACCCCCTATCCCCCATCCCAAGAGACAGAGTAAATAACTTGAGGACAAACTTTAGTTTTGACTAGAAGGGATGGAAGCAATGACAAGGTGGCAGGTAAAGACCAGGTGACAGGAGCAATATAGGAAACTAGGGCAGAAAAACTAAAGCGAGCAACAGAAGGCTCGTCCCCTGGAACTGCCTTACTATCTCTATTTCTTCCTGAGGCTCCTCTCTGCAGGAAAAGAGTAAGTGTCTTTTAAATGGTTAAGAGTGTCCTGGGCTGCAATAGCCAGCTGTGGCCCCAGTGAGGAAGAAGCTCTGCAGGAAGAACAGAGAGGCCTGAATCCCACAAACTGGTGAATCACCAGGACTGTTTGGAGAACGTTCCCTGGAGGAGAGGCAAATACAGGTAGCCAGTGCTTGGTCAGGTATATCAAGGGCCCAGATTGAGAGTTGCCTCCCTGTCCCGCCCAGCCTGTAGGCTTCGTACCGGGGTGTAATACTCCATGATGGGGTAGTGTAGCTTGTTGCCTTTGCTGGCCCTGCCTGTCAAGAAGCAGGTCTGGCAGATGTCCACGTTAAATTGTTTCAGACTCCGGTACCTTGAGGAGAGGAGAAGTGATAGCACAGAGGATTCAATGTGCCACAGTGACCTCTCCACTTCCCTAACATCCAAATATGCACACATATTAGAAGACGGTGAGGCAGGGAGTCATGATGCACTCAACCTCCTGTACATAGCGTGACTGAGTCCTCACTAAATGACTAGCCTTATTCTAGACACTATAAATCTCCATGAAATCACATGATCAGCCTCCTAGAAGTGTGGGAAATAGCACTGTCTCACCATCTTTTTTTTTAAAAAACGGGGGGAGCAGGGGTAAAGAACTCATTATAGCAAATAGCTTTCTAAGCAAGGATGGCCCCAAAGGGTCCAGTCTCACAAGTACCAGCACCTGCTGGAGAAGTTACTTTTCCAATACAAAGGCTGCTTGTTATACCAGCCCTGTGCAAGTTAGCTAAAAGTTATTTCCGGAAGTTATTTATAATAATAACTCTATTATTACCCAATATACACTAGCTCTTCAGATTCAGTCCCAAAGCTGGGCCAAGCTGCCCAGACCTAGTAGTATAGAGTGGTGAAACACTTAGACTTAGAGAAGTCAGAGGATCCAACATCTGCTACTGGATTGATGCGAACCAGCTGTGTGAACTTGGGTAAGTCACATTCCACCTCCGTGCCTCACTTGCTTATAAAGAGAGTGTTTTAGTGCTTTTAAAAGTATAAAAATTGAGCGTTTTATGATGAAAGCCAAATTCCCGATAGTGGTTAACTTTGTGGGAGAAGGGGAATGTAATCAGGGGAACTTCAAATGGGTTGTAATAAGGTTTTATATCTTAAGCTTCATGGTGCGTGCATGCCACAGGGCGCCAGAGCTGGCTCATACCAGCTCACGAGAGCCAGCTGTTAAAATTTCAGGGATTTTCCAAGCCAGTTGTTGCATACAGCCATTATTTTAAAAAAATAAATTACATAAACAATTAAGTAAATTATGTTAAAACCAAAAGTAATAAATACTCAAAACTCATGGCCTCCTAATTATTTTACTATGATCTATGCTCTTGAGGTTGTTTATATCTGTTGGACCTACATGGTGGAAATACTATAAATGATGTTGAACCACAGCATCTCTTCCCTTCCCGACCTCCTGTGGGTAGCCAAACACTGGCCACAGTGGGAATATTTACATCATGGAAATTAGCCAATGCTCCAAATTAGGTTTCTTTCTTGCTTTCTGGAGTTGGTGTGAACCATTTTCCAGCATACCATTTGGTACATAGGTGTTCTTAAGTCAGGATGCTTGGGGCTTTTGGGTTCTACTTACTGCTTCCTGCGAAACCATGAGCAAATTACTTCCCTTTCTGTGCTGTTCCCTCATCCATCTTATACGTTTTTTTTTGTTTGTTTTTTTATAAATAAATATATATTCTCGTATTTATACGTTTTTGTAGGTCTAGAATATTTCATAATGCAACTAAAACAAAACAAAATATTTCATCATTTCTATTTAAAAGAATAAACATTCTGCAATATAAAGGGTTACAACGATATATAACAATGGACAATAGATTAGGTACAATTATATAATTACGTAACCTATTGCTTTGTAGTATATGATTTCTATGCAACACAGACTATTTACTATTATTATCATTCCATCAGGTATTGTTTTCTCTACCTGAAGCCCTTGATGGGGCATTGCCTACAGACAGAGCACTTGGTCTGATGCTTCACTTGCTCAGCAATGGTGACCCGATGCAGAACAGCCAGCCACACCATGGACTGGGGCTCCAAGTTGACCCACTCCAGGAACTGGGAAGCTTCAATGACTGGCTTCCCAGTGCTCTAGGGAAACAAGAAGCCCAATGGCAATGACTGAGACCCAAAGTGTCTTGTGCCTAGAACGGTAGCCCTCAGAGGAGCAGGAGAAGCAGCAAGGCCTGGGTTGGCCTATTCTCTCAAGGTGTCTACCTTCTGCCCTGTCCTAGTAGAGCTGCTGTCCTCTCTGGCAGGACTCTGACCCTAAAATCCCAGAGAACCTTCCCACCTGTTGTTCCATCCCAACAAACTCCCTTACATCTGAGTAGCTCAGATCAAAAGCCTAACTCTTAGTCTTCCCTCCCTTTTTCCCACCCTCCCTCCCATCATCCCTCCCTCCCACCTTCCCCAGTTCCAGACTCACAAAACGGAAGCAACTACGGACACTGGGCTCCACATTGCTGCCTCCAAAGGCTGCCACTTCCCCCAGCTGACGAGGCACTTGAATGGCCTCATGAAGCAGGACACCAAGGTGGCGTTGGTCACACTGGCTGCCTGAGTTGGCGACTTGGCTGAAGAGGTCTGCTGGCCCCACCATAAGTCGTGGCCAACCACAATGCAGGAATGGCCAGCGAATGGTGCGAGGAGAAAGAGCAGAAAAAGAAGACAAGGAAAGAGCACACAGACTTAGCTAATGACTTTTGTAACTGAAATGCTTAGTGGTCTATCCCTGACCTTCTAGAAGCCCAGGAGCTCCAAAAAGAGCATTCTCTGAGTTCAGAGAGAAAAACTGAGACAGACACAAAGAGAGAGAGCATCACAAAGAGAGGGGGAGAGAGAGATGGAGACAGAAAGTGAACTGTGTGTGAGAGCAGTGCCAGACACAGATATAACACCGTCGGGAAAATAGATTCTCAAGAAGCAAGGTGAGGGGGTCTCAGGGGTGCCTGAACATGAGTTACAGTCAGTGCCCTATTCCCTCCTATTCATGTAACTTATGTCGTCTGATACTGCAATAATCTCTCAATTATCCATACAAAGGGAAAGAAACACTGACATGGATAATCCAAAAACAGGAGATAATTCAAAGCGTCTGATCTTCAAAGAATTAGCTCTAAGTGATTGTCGAACAGACTGTGGTACTTATATTTGAATCTGGGATAGATCTGCCCTTTGAGGGGACCTCCCACTCCACCCCACCCTTAGAAAACCTCTTCCAGAGATTACTGTCTGTCTGCTTCATACCTCACCTAAGGCTTAGAAAAACACATAAATGAAGGCAGAGGGCCTGGGTTTTAGTTCTGGATCAATTGCTGACTAGCCTGTAGAACCTTGGGTAAGTCACGAACCTCTCCGTGCTGCAGTTTCCTTCCTTGTAAATTGAGGATAATTAATCATTGTCCATCTAATCTCAAAGGGATGATGGGAGAGATAAATAATATCATAGTTGTGGACATGCTCTGAAACGTCCCCTTCCCTGTAGAGTTTCCCCAGACCTCTGTCTTCTCTCTCCCGTGATCTGACACAGCACATATCCTTTGTCATTCTGATTAGTTTAATTAGTACTTTGCAAAAAATTCTTTCTGTGTACTTCTGTTTCTTCCTCTGGACTATAAACCACTTGAGGCAGGGAGTGTGTCTAACTGACCCTAGAACTCACCACATTTAGCACAGTGATCAACACACAGTAAGCACTTGATACCTGACAATGCTGTTGCAGAAAAGAACAAAATGCTGTACAAAAGGTGAGAGGATGGAGGGGAAAGGAAAGGTACCATACACCAGAGAGGTTAAAAATGACAGAATTCCATACTGTCCTCCTCCCAGTAACAGGGATGGTTGCACCCTAGCCATGTAATCACATGGGAAGTCTCCAGTAGAACGTGTGACATGGCTTGAGCTCCAGATGGGGAGAGGGCTAAACCTGATAAATAGGTCATGGGGGAATGTAACTAGAAAGTCTGGGCCCTGGGTGCCCCAGGATGCCAACTCAGATCCTGGCCAAGTAATTATACCAGAGCGGAAGAATTCAAACCCCTTGCAGTGACACTGGAAATAATCACAAGTCTTAGGCCTTTGGTTGTTGTGGATTCTTTGCAATAGTGTGGACCAGGAAGCATCACTAGGTAACCCAAGTAGCCCCCTGCTGAGTCATAAGACCTACCTTCTGCTTGTCTTACACCCTTCCTCCTCCCGCCACACCTCTCCCTCCACCCGGTTCCACTCCAGACTTTGGAGTTGTACTCACACTGCAGTTTTTCCTTCACTTCTGTGCCACACAGGCATGCAATGCCAGTCTTAAAAGACAATGCCCGCATCTTTCCACTGCGACCGCTAGGTTTAAAAGAAGAGACTGAGAACATGAATATATGTAAAGGGTTAACATCTTGGCAGTCATTTCCTTCACAGAGTTGATCCCAGCTGGGCTCTGTGCCAACCATGCCCCAAGCTAAGCTGGCTCCAAGTCCACCGTGACAGCAACCCCTTCACACCAGGCCCACCCCAGATGTCCCACTGAATTTCATCCTGGAGGCTGCCAGGGCTGCAAGCCCTTACCTGTCAAAAACATTGAGGAGCCAGTTGAGGCTCATATCTACACACAGCGGCACATTGACCAGGATGCCTCTCTCCTCCTCCAGCCGTTCATATAAGGCAGTCAGGCAGTGAATGACCTCCACCACGTCCATCACATGCTCACTGGCTTGCAGATCATGCTCATTGAAGATCTCCAGTGCTGTGGTTAAAGTTACCAGGTCCACTGGGACGGGAAGAGAGAGGGAGAAAACAGAGCCAAAAGAAGAACCCCAGGGGCTACACAAGGAGATAAGGCCACCAGCTTCACCAACTCTGACTCACCATATGTAAGTATGATGCAAGCTTGCCCTTTACTAAGACGCTCATCCCAAGGAGGGGGAGGCAGCAAAAGGCCCCCTAAATTAACCCAAAATGTTTCTATACCCATATATTCTTTGACATCAGTCTACATCAGAAGATGGTGGGATGTGAGTAAACTCATCTCCTGTGTTGTGTTAACTCCCAAGGGGTTGAATCCCATTTTAAATTTCTGGTTTCACCTGCATTTCAACTACAAATAGGTTTGCCCATGAACCATGCTCTGAGAACCTAGACACCAGGTATGAAGGCTTGGGTGTGCCAGGGTAAATACGACATGCCTCAGGAGGGCTTTTTAATTATGCCCAATGCTGGAATTAGCCTAGCCAGACACATCAAGAAGATTGAATGAACAGTGTCTCTGAGAAAGGTCAGAAGGCACATTATATCGGCAGCCATGTTGTCCCCTAACCACTGGCATTTGCTTCAACAGTTCTGCTACATCCAATAACGCCACAATGGCAAAGGAACACAAGCTCCCAGTGGTTCCAAACCATCGGCTAAGACGCTTCCTGCCATAAAACAGTTGCACTGTTTTCCACGTTGGGTAGGGCAGAAGGGACAAGGAAGAGGATAGCTGTGGATTAATTTGGAAACAGGTCTGGGGCTTGGAAAGAATGGAAGGGCCCTGTGAGGAGCAGGATTCCACAGCCAGCATATCCCAGCCTTTGGAGAGTTCCCTCCAAGCCAATCAACAGCCCTGGTTAAGGTGGGATGAAAGTGGGAAACATCTGACAAATGACGTAGAGTAGGAGAGGGATGAAGTGCACTGGGAGACTTACAGCGCAGTGCCTTCTGGACTCTGCGTAGCTTCATGGCAGTGCGGTAGGCTGAGAACTTAATGTTGTTCAGATCAGCTGTGAAGAATGGAAAGAGACCCACTCAGATCAAGGAAGGGCAAATTAAAACCACAGCAAGATACCATTTTATACCCACCAGATTGGCAAAAAATAAAAGCCTGACAATGGCAAGTGTCAGCGAAGATGGGATGAATGAGAACTGCTGGCGGAAGTGTAAAGTGATACAATTACCTTGGAACACCATGTGGTATTACTTAGTGAAGTTGAACAGTCACGTATCCTACAACCCAGCCAGATATACATATCCTGCAGCAGTGATTTTCAAATGTTTTTTGACAAAGATGCACAGTAAGAAATTCATTTTACATCACGGTCCAATATACATACACTGATGTGTGCACATATAAAAAACTGAATCAAACATTTCAGGAAACAACACCTTACTATATTTGATAAAGTAAAAACATAACAAAATTAATATCAAATATGACTCTTGCTAAGGATCTGTTGTACTTTCATATTTCCTAGTCTATTTCAATGTTTAAAATGCTTGTCATATCACACTGAAACATGCACCAGAAGACATGCACAAGAGCTCTTCAGCAGCACTGTTCTGATTAACTCCAAACTAGAAACAACCTAAATGGCCATCAACAGTAGACTGGATGAAGAAACTGTGGCATATACAATGGAACACTCTACAGCAGTGAAAATGAATGAACTACATTCACATACATCAACATGGGTAAAATTTGCCACCTAATGGTTAGTCTCTCTGAATAGCCAAAGATAAGTCACATGAGGGTCACATTCATTACATCCTGGACAGTGTCTTTCAAAGCAGATCTGGTTCACACCTATAAGCATAATTCCCTAATGTGATGGTAAAATGATCCAGGGGGAATGTAGAGCCTCCCATTGAGGGAGGTGTAGACAGGAAATGGAAGAAGGCTGCTGGCGAAAGGACAAGGTACTCACTTCTATCCCCACCTACTTGGTGAGTGGGATTCCCTACTGTTTTAGAACAAAGGCAACCAAATAGATCCCCACCCTATGCAGGAACCCCGCATCTTACCCAGGGTTTGGTATAATTCTGTCATCTTGGGATGGTCCCAGCATGTGGTCTGAGCCTGGTGGCTACAAACAAAAGCATCAATAGCGCCAGGGTTCACAGCACCCCTCCCCCCACACACACATGCACACACTACTCAGTGATAGGATGGATGCAGGGAGCTGCAGGATCCCAGGGTGAGCCCTGAAGATCCCAGAGCACAAGGGTTCACCTTTACCCAGGTAGGTTCTTGAGCTCTTGAGATGAGTAGGAAGGAAAACTGGACTGGGTGGAGGAATCCCAACAGGTAAGGAGTGACAGGGACAGGTAGAAAAAAGACAGGCGAGGGAGGGGGTGGGCAGGTGACTGACCCCCTTCTGATTCAGATGGTCACTCACTTGATGTAGTAGGGAACTTTATTGGGTGAAATTGCTCTTTCCCAGGGAACCTGGACAGAGGCTGGTAAGGGAGGAGAGAAAGAGAAAGAAGCTGGCTACTAATGCTCTTCAGGTTCCTGGTGACTCCCCTGGTATATCCTCCCAAGTAAAGGTCAAGCCCAAAAGGGGATGGCCGACTCATTGCCAGCTCTTAATAGCCCTGAGGGTGGGGCAAAAACTAATGAACACATTTCTCTCCCTGATCTTAGGGCAAGGGAAGGAGAAGAAGTTGTCACTGATATGCTCATGTGCCAGAGACTGGCAAGGGCATCAACAGGAATACCTGCTCTGCCACTCTGACTATATTCTCCCCGAGCAGGCTGCCATGTCTATCCATTCAGCTGCAGGCAGCTGGAGTGCTGCTGTGGATATGAACTGGACCCTACTTTCCTCCCAGGGCTCAAAGCCCTTCCCCCAGGAGGTCCAGCTTCTCAGTCCTGTGAGACAATGGGAACTGGTACTGCCCATTTCTCTCTGCTGAGGAACTCTCGGCTGCCCTTCTCTGCTCCATGTCCTTATCTTCCAGATGTTCCAGGAAAGGCTCAGTTACCTGGCCAACCACCTCACTGCAGTTTCCCTGGGTACAAGAGCCCTCTATGGATAGAGCTGCATACCAGTGATTATAACAGGAGTAGTTCTAACTGCCATTAACATCTACTGAGTCCTACTATGTGCTTGATACTCTGCTAAATGCTTTGTGTACATGTCTAATTTTCAAATCTTTATACTGCCACCATATCTACTGCTACCACCCTTATCTCAGTCACCAGAATCCCTGACCTACATTATTGCAATATGCTTCCAAACAGGTCTCCCTGCTCCCACTCTCACTCCCCAACACTGACTGTTGAAACGTAAGTCAGGTCATGTCATCCTTCTGCTCAAAGCCCTCCAAAGGTTCTGCATTCCATTCAGAATAAAATCCCAAGTTCTTACCCTAGCCTACAAGGCCCTCCGTACTCTGGCCTCCTGCCACCACTCTGACCTCTTGCTCTCTCCACTCTTGCTCACTTCTGCACCTGCCTCTTTTTTGGTCCTCAGGGATGCCGGCCTTAAGGTCCTGGAAGCTGCTGTTCCCTCTCCCTGATGTGCCCTTCCCTCAGATATGCACATGGTTCACTTCTTCACCCCCTTGAGGTTCCCTGTCCATTCTTGTGCTCTCAGTAAGGCCTTTCCTGACCACCCTATTCAGAAGTGCCGTGCCTCCCCCTTAGTTCCAGCACCGCCCATTCACACCTTCCCTGTTTTCCTTTTTTCCATAGCACATGTCATCAATTTACCATAGAGATGTTTTACTTATCTGTTTATTGTCTGACTTCCCTCATTAGACTATAAGCTCTATCGGTCTAAAGACTTCTGTTCATGGATGTAGCCTCAGTGCCTAGAAGAGTTCCTGGCCCACAGCAGGCCTTCAATAAATATTGTTGAAAAAGTAACGTCATTTAATTCCTGTAATCCTGTGAGCCAGGTAATATTTTCCCCTCTTTTTACATGTGGGCAAACTGAGGTTCAGAAAGTTTTAGCTATTTTTTCCAAGCTTGCACAGCTATTGAATCAGGAGCTGTAACTCAGACCCAGGTCTCTCTGACTTGAGAGCCCGTCCTTTGAATCACTATACCACACTGCTTTCTCTTTACTGTATCTTGGATGCCAAGGCATAGGGGGCTCCCATTAGGCCCCCACGGGAAAACAGTAGACTCCCTTGGAAGGTGGCTGAAGTTCTGCTAAGTGAAGTCCAGTTTGTCTCACGTACAGGAGAGGAAGTGCTGTGACCCAGGCCCAAAGTCCCGGTGGGCATCCTGGAGCTGCTTAAGCCTCTCGCCGACTGACACCTATGGAAAGAACAGGTAGGAAGTCAGTGGATTCATTCCAGACATTTAGTGTGGGATGTCCAGGTACCTCCGAGAGTCTTTGTGAGCTCCCTGATAGGTTGGTTCTTCTCCAGTTCCAGCTCCTCCCACCTCATCCAACTGCTAGCACTCCTGCAGCACTCCTAAGGGTCAGAAAAGAGCAGCCCTAATTCCAGGCCACAGGCACTCTTCCTCTGTCCCTGTCTACCTTACATGCCCACATTTAGACAGGTCCCTCTCAGGTCTTCATTTCAATCATTCCCTGTAGCTTAGAGGCTGAGAAGCCTGTTCCCTGGCCCCAAATTCTCTGCTATTCTTCTCTGATGTAGGTCCCATTTCAATGTCCTTTTACTTCCTTTGGGCCCAGAGAAGTTTCCCCCAAGCCTAGTTATAGCAAGGCTCTTTCCCGTGGCTCATGCCAGGCTCCTCTACCTGAAGCTGTTTCCACTGGCTGTTGATCTGCTCCAGGGCCCGGGAGTTCTCCATTGACAAGTGCACATCAGAAATGGCAAGCTGATGGGCCAGATCATTCACCAACTTCACGCCATCTTTCATGGGGGATAGTTCTTCTTTGAATAGCTGGGGAACCAGGGTCCAAGTCCCACAGCGGACAGAGAGTGGGAAAGAGGGACCATTAGTCATTCACCGCAACTCCTCCTTCTTCACTCAGAGATTTTGTTTCCATAGCACAACTTAGGTGCTTGCCTACTAGGGCAATAAGACTAAGATGTGGGTAGCCACTGTTCTTATCCTCTTCCTTTCCTGTTCTCAGAAAACACCAGAGAAAGAGAATACAGTAGGACAGAGGAGACCCCCAGCTAAACCAGCCCCCAAATCCATTACATCGACTGGTAGGCTCAGTGTAGTATGGGTCAACAATGGAGTCTCATCAGCAGAAACACTGTCGGGGTCTAGAAGGGATTTCAGGTTTCCAGGTGGACTGTAGCCAGGTGAGGGGGCCTGCATACCTTAAGAGTCTGGATGTGGTCAGGGAGTGAATCAATGAAGAGATCCCCGATGGGCTCCCAAGTGGCTCGGACTCCCTCAGCCTGGGTCAGAGTGGTGCTTAATTCCTCCATGGTCCCTTGGATCTCCAACAGCTGTTCCAGAGTGCGCTCGATGTGGCGGTCCTGGTCCACACAGCGGGCTGTAAGCTTCTCCCATAGTTCGCTGGCCACTGTCGCCTGTTTCCATACAAAGCGGCTAAGATTCTGGATCCGCTGTCTGGGTGAGGTATCTGCAAGGGCAGGCAGAAATCCAGGTCAGGCCAACCAGGCAGGGGAATCCCAGGGAAAGACAGAGATAAAGATAGCCCTTTGTAAGATGTGTATGTGTTTGTGTGCATGTGCGTGTGTTTGTGCATGTATTTATATACACGCAAAAACGTATTTTCCATGGTTGAGTTCCTTTTGCACATTTATGTTTTTCAAAAGTTAAACTTTTAGTTTTGAGATCATTATACACTCACATGCAGTTATAAGAAATAATACAGAGATCTCATGGACCCTTTACTAAGTTCCCCCCAATGGCAGCATCTTGCAAAGCTATTGTACAATACCACAACCAGGATACTGACATTGGTACTCCATCAATTTTGTTCAGAGTTCCCCAGTTTTACTCATACTTCTCTCTCTCTCTCTCTCTCTCTCTCTCTCTCTCTCTCTCTCTCTCTCTCTCTGAATTTACATCTAGGAGATTTTATCACATGTGTAGGTTCGTGCATATACTACCACAGTCAAGGGATAATTTGTTGTTTTCCATTTATTATATCATAAGGATTTCCTCATATTTTTAAAAATGGGCAAGGTAAATAGTGAGTAAAACATTTTAAGATGCACAGTGAGGCAAATCATCCACAGTCCTATTCACATGACCCTGGAATGTGATTTCACATTTGTATCTGCTGCCCACTTCCATCCAAAGAAGGGATGCATTTTATGAAGGCCCAGCCCAGAAGAGGAGTATAACTTGCCAAGCTTTCCACCTAGGCTCTTACGCCACATGTTTCTTCTCCCTCCCCCAGACCTCCCTTTAGAAGTAGATTCTGAGCTCTAAAACTCCAGGCTACTCAAAACTGTCCTGCTCTCTCTTGAGCTTGTCCGATCTGAGGTCCATCGGGCAGTAAACTGAGTATTAGCCTCCTGATCTGAGGGGCTCATAGTAAAGGAGAGGTTCAACAGCATTGACAAAGGGCTCAATTAATCAAAGGTCCTCCTGAACTATTCCTAGCCAATCTCAGAGGGACGAAGACTCTTCTGAAAAAGAGGGCTTGCTGGGTCACCACTCAGATCTAATCACCACGGATCCCAGCTGCCTTATATGAACCTAGACCAAGAGTGGCCCACTTTATCGAGGGAAAGGGGTCAGAATCCACCAGGGTCAGTATCAAAGAGCCACAATCAATTTTCTTCTCAAATGTCATCACCCAGCTTTCTAGATTTTAAAGTTTTCTTTAGTTGCTGATTGATTAGAGCATTATCGCATGTCTCCCTATGTTGGAATAAAGCAGTATGTTTTTGAAGGACATACTAATAGTTTGATTCACTGAGTGAATTCAATCCATTTGAGTCTTTGGTTTTTTTCTTTTTCATGCCTCATTAGAAGGCCACACATGATGCTCCACAGCCAGAACCAGCTTTGGGCCACATGCTGATCTCCCCTGCTCCAGGCTCCGCTCTCTTTGCTTTTTCTTGCAGTATGAACCTTGCTCCTCCACAACCCTGGACTCCTAGGATAAAACTATCCTCCCAGATAACAGCTGAGAGAATTAGTTTGGGGAAGGCAAGAAGGTGTCTAGCAGTTCATAGTTTAAGAAGAAGGGTGAAGAGGGGAAGACCACTCACCTTTGCTCTCTAAAGGGGGCTCCTCTAATTCCTCAAATGGGTGCTGGGACAGGAAGGCCTGAGCTGACTCCAGCACAGAGTAGATATAGGGGCCCCGAGACTTGACATCTTCCATAAAGGCCTGTGAAGTTTAGCAACATGGTCAAGCGGGAAGGAACGTCTTTCAATCGCTTTAAATTCCATCCTGCAACTGACAACCTTTCTTCTCCTCAGAGTAACTTGATCCTTTGACATTATCATGTATCTTTGGGCTACCCAGACAAAACGAGGTGCAGTCCTTCCTACAGGCAGAAGAATAACTCTGACACTAGAACATCTGTGTAGTATCAAATGGGTCTGTCTATGCCACAGGGTAGAGAGAAATGTGGAGATTTGGGGCTGGGTATCTTGGTTCTCTGCAAGAACACACAATGTGATATATAGATGATGTATTACAGAATGGTACACTTGAAACCTATGTAATTTTACTAACCACTGTCACCCCAATAAATTTTAATTAAAAAAAAGTCCCTTGTAAGAGGCTTAAAGAAATCAAAACAAGAATGGGCAGGATTTATATTAAGATTTTCAATAAATTGTTGAAATATTAATATACATAAAGTGTACACATCAAAAGTGTACAGCTGAATGAATTTCCATAAAGTGATTCTATCTCTGTAACCAGTACTGAGATCAAGAAACAGAACTCCACCAGCATCCCAGAAAGCCCCTCATGATGCCTTCTGGTCACTAGCTCATTCTCCTCCCCAGGTAACCACTATCTTGACTTGTAATACCACTTATTGGTTTTTTTCATTTTTGAACTTTATATACATGGAATCATACAGTATGTACCCTTTTTGTATCTGTTTTTCACTCAACATACTGTGTTTAAGATTCATCCATGCTGTGGCACATAGTTATAGCTTGTTTATTTTCTTGCTGCATTGCATTCCATTATGTATGAATTTTTAATGGAGATATAATTGACATATAACATTGTGTAAGTTTAAGATATACAACATATTCATTTGATACATTTATATTGCAATATGATTGTCATTATAGAGTGAGTTAACATTTCTGTCATGTCACATAATTATCATTTCCTCTGATGCATTCTGTATTTATTTTTAAGAAACATCTGTTTTTATTTTCTGATTATAGAGGTAATATGTGTCACAGAAATCTTAGAAATTTCAGAAAAGTATGTAGAAAATTAAAAATAACTCTAATTTCATCACCTAGAGTTAACCATTGTGAATATTTTGATATAGCTCCTTCTTAGGTGTTTATGCGTGTACAAACATCTATATAGATTTTTATACAATTGAGATCCACCTGTATATGGTTTTTTATCCTGTGTTTTTAAGTTAATATTATATTATTTATGTTCATTTTTCCATGTCCCCATTAAAAATCAGGGCAGGATTTTAAGGGACACCAATATTTGATGGGGGAATAGAGAGGCCTGACTTTCTCTGTGGAGTGCTATCCACAGATCAGTAAGACTGCATAGAGCTTCCTGTTTACTTTAAGCATCTAAGCAGAGACTGGGTGTCCGTCTGTGAAGGTATTGCAGAAGAGATCCCCTCCTGATTGAGAGGCTACACACCACAGCCTCCATAATTCTAACCTACCGCATGTGTCTCCTTCTCCTGTTGCACCAGGGCCACATCCCCTTGTAGGGGCAGCTGAGCTGACAGTTCCTCATCCTTTTGGCTGAGCCAGTCAATAATCTCTTGGAGAGGGAGCTGAAGCTTTCCACTGTGGTCTGAGAAGGCCTCTAGGCGAGCGCTGCACACAATGGGTAAGACCAGTGATTTGCAGTCTTCTTTTTAAGTGGCAAAACATTTTTTCCAAACAAATACTTATGTGGAACATTAATATATAAAACAGATTAAAGAGGAGCTGCTCTGGTTGAAGTGGGAGAAGGTCCGGAGCCCTCCCTCTGGTCCACCCACAGAGGCACCTCCACACGGAGCTCAGCGCTAAAACCCACGGGTAGGACAATGGGTGGGAAGGGATCCCAAACTTAAGTGGTTTAATATGTCACTGGGTGGATGTCAGTTAATTCAGTCACGAGCCCAGCATCAGGCTGGGAAGTGCAGAAAACTAAGCGAGGGCATTAGAGGTGACAGCTGTCTGCTTGCCCTCTTTCCCTGGAGGAACTCAGGTCATGCCAAACTGCTCATCTACAGAGGCTTCTCCAAGCCTGCCCTCTGAGCAGGAGAGGATGCAGTAAGTGGAAAGAGCAAGTCAGGGGGTTGAGCATGGGCACTCACATGCCCAAGGACACATACAAATATAAGCAGCCCACGGATCCCAAAGGATGATAGCAACAAAGGCTAGAGGTTTAACATATGGAAGGTGAAAACTGTGTACTGTATAATCATCTCTGTCTGCCTTCCCCGACAAATGAACCATGAACCGAGGTCCAAGTGGTAGGAAGCTGGAGGCCAGCCTAGGCTATGTGCAGACATTGAGCCCATTCCCCTTAGCTGACAATAATTATTATTCATTGTCCCCCTACCACCTGGGCCAAGCCTTTTACCTACATTTTTGCTTCCACTAATTCTCAGATCAACCATATGAGGTAATCACTACTATTGCCCAGAGAGGTTAAGTAATTTGCCCAAGGTCACATGATAGGCTATTAAGTCATTGATAGAGCTAGGATTTGAACTCAGGTTTGTCTGATTCCAGAGCCTGCATTCTTCCAACTTCATACTGCCTCACCCCCATCAGAGTGTGCCAGAAGCCAGGGGTTTGGGTTTTGATGGTAGGGAGTAGAGCAGAAAAGTGTGTGTATGGAGAGGAGGGGTTACACAGAGGAGTAGGGAGAAGAGGAACAACTGATATATTAGAAATTGCCTTCTGGCTCTTACTGATTTGCCCTTCGCTTGGGGAGGAATGGGTGGGGTAATAAGCAATGGATGCAGACAGAGGGATGAAAGGATGGGAGAGACAGCAGATGAGATCTACCAAGATGGAGGACCGTTATGCAAAGAAGAGGAGGAGAGTAACCATTATGTTTCATTTATACATCAGAGCTTGTAAGTTCAGAAAGAATTTTCATATCGCATTTGAATTCTCACAGCAATGCTGCAGGGTAGCTAGGACAGGTATTATTCCTCCACTCATTTTTTTTTCTCAAAAAAATCCAAATGGAAGCTAACATTCAGATAACTCAAGCCACTTATCCAAGGTCACACAGCTACTTAAAACTGAGGCTCAAATCCAAGTCTCCTGACTTTTGACCCAGGGTTCTTTCCCCAGTGCCAGAGAAGGAAAGGAGGAAGGGGATGGTGAGGCTGATGATAAGGTGACACACAGGCTGAGAGGAGAATGACAAGTGACAAGCTGCAGCAGCAAAAGGAGCGCACCGTCGGAGCCAGGCCCCTAGGACATCTATGTGTAGGGCTCAGGCCTTACCGGAGGTTTTGAGACTTCTTCTTGATTTCATTCCAACACAAGTTCATGGCTGGTGGTTCCAGACATCCAGTGGCACCAACAGACCCGTTGAACAGCTTTGGGCTTAGGCAGGAAAGCCCAGCGCCATCCTGAGGAGGTGCAGGGGAGGTGGCAGCAGCTCTAACCTGGACAGAAACACAGATACCCTGTGATCCCAGGAGCATGCCACGTCCTGGTCTGCACCAAGCCAAGGGTGGGACAGGTGTGAAGAAGACGAGCAAAGGACATGTCCCCAGGTGTGTTTGGGAGTGAGATAAAGGAATACTTGGTGGCTCTGTTCTTTGCAAGTTTTGGTATAGGCCGATCACATGTAACTACTGATTGCTATCATTATTACTTATTATTGTAATTTCTGTCAGGATTACTGCCCAGATGGGATCCTAGAAGTCCTTGTGTTAGGTAATAGCTACTCAGAATAGCCCAAACACAGCATTCAAGGTGAGCTGTAGGCTCCTATTTCAGGGTCCCACAGTTTGCCCAGCCTTCTGGAAAAGAAAGCCGAGGGACTGCCCCATAAAGATTCAGAGGGGGGTGGGGGGGGGAGAAAAGAGACCAGCTAGGGAGTGCTAACAGTAGTAGATGTCCTACTTCTCCCAATAAATCTAGGCCTTGATGTCCCCTCTCTGCCCCACCCACTTTTTCCACCACAGACAGAAAGCTTGGAAATAGTCCTAAAGAGTGCTGTTTATCTTCCATGGATTGAGGAAGGGCTAAAGCAGCATTTTGGATCCTGATCTCCTAAGGACTCTGACCAGAGTCGGCAGCTAAAAGGACCAGCCATAGAGCCTGCCGAAGTCTCGTCTTGGGCCCTTGAGCTCAGAGCCCATTACTCGCTTGCCCAATGGAGTAATGTAGGGTTTGGAGTAATGGGGTTGTATCAAATAGCCCTTAAGAAGTTAGCTACCTCTGTAACTAGCATGTAAATAAAAAAGCTACATTTATCTGCTATTAGATGAAACACTGGCACATTTACTCCTACCAAGTGCAGTCACAATCATAGCACAGAGTATGAGTGATGTTGATCTAATCATCCCATTAAATGCATATTATGTGTGAAGGGGGGCAGAATGCTCATTTTCTAGTTATTAATCCAGAGTAACTAAGAAAACTGAAGAATAAAAAAATCTTGCATTACATATATATATATATATATATATATATATATATATATATATACACACACACACACACACACATATATATATAAAGTGAGCTACCTTCAGCAGTGCCAGAACCACCCGGGGGAGGGGGCCGTCAGAAGAAGAATGAGGGGGAGTGTGGAAGAGGAAACCTCAGCTGAGTGGCTCCACCCCAGCCTGGGGAAACCCACTGGCCCACCTGCCTGTCCAACTGCTTGCCTTCTGTGGGAAGAACATGGTCCTGCTGGTGGCTGAGACTCTCTAGTCTCCCTTTCCCCCCAAGACTTCCTCCCCACACAAGACCCTCCAGGCAACCTAGGAAACCAATCATCCCATTAAAACCACAGCTTGCAGCCACAGCCTGAAAGGGAAGTTAGGGAGCAGCCAGGCTGGGGGCAGAGCTCTCAACTCAGTCACCCTGTGTCCCCATGCGCTGACCCTACCTGTGCTGCCTGGGTACTCCATTGCAGGATTCGATAACTCCATGATTATCCCTTAACAGGCATCTGGATGCAGTGCCTGGTGAGCTGCAGGCAGAATCCTGACAGGCTCTGAGCAGGCTCCCTCAGGGAAGGCAGGCAGAGCCGAGCCAGGCCAGGAGGCGGGAGCTGTCACCCTGTTTGTTTACTGACCCCCCAGGAATCTGGAGGGGGCGGCTATGTCAGGGTTCACGCCGGTGAATCAGAGCTTTGTCCCTGGGGAATTCCGGCTCGCTCCCAACTGGGCCCGCCACACCGGGGCCAGGAGGGCCCTCCCAGGCTGCCAAGGTTGGCAGGAGTGGGACTGGGCATTCCATGGTGCTGAGGAGGAGCATGCGGAGGGTAGCCTCTGTTGAGTTGTTTTCCCTTGCTATGGAAGACACAAAGGACTCACTCTGCTTGAGGCCCACCCCTCCCCTGAGGTGGAGGAATGGATCAGACCACTCTGGTGACAAACCCCTGGTAAGCAATTTTCCCAAGGCCTGGCAGGAGGATGGGCTTGGAAATAAGCCTTGTCCTTGACTAAGTGTCCTCAGTGGCAGTGAGAAATGTGTGTGGCATACCTGGGGACAGAGTCATGGAATAGCAGGATTTATCTGAGGCCACTGTGGAAACGCAGGGTGCTCTGTCCTGCCTTTGGGAGGCAGAAAGGGGTAGAGAGAGGAGCCATGTCCCCCCAGACCTCTCACCACACCCTAAGGCCAGGGGCACATGGATGGTCTATGGGCATCCCTGGACCTCTGCAGGGATGGAGAGGACAACATGGAACCCAGCGGCTCCATGAAGGGATCCAGGGCCAGGGAGCCTCTTGTCCCTGCCTGTGTTGCCCTCGGTCCCTTGGCCTGAGGGGCAGAGCCCCTTCTGGAAGTGGCCACTCTCCTCCAGCAGACTTGCCTGGGGAAAGGTTAACATTCCCGAGCTGCCCCCCCCTCCCTCAGCACTGAGGGAAACACTTCATTTTTACCAAAAAGGGTTCTGTTCCCATCCTCATTTATCTCCCACAGTCTTCTGGGCTTTCCACAGTTCCACATTGTTTCCATGCTGAGGCCCACCTACAGGAATAGTTGGAGCAGATGCCTGACCCTTTCTGGGTGTCTGGGGTGGAGCCATCCGGGTTGGATGGGGGATGGAAGATGTCAGGCCAAGAGCAGGGAGTGGCTCTAGCTCCCGGTTGCAGCTTTGCTTATACTGGGATAATTGGGTTCAAGCCAGTCTCACAGAGTGCCCTGGACTGGGAATGTCCCAGAGTTAGAAATGGCCCCATGTGACCCAGCCACAACCAAGTTGTCCTGGTAATGAGGGAAACACCCACGATCGGCTGGCTCCACCCATATTAGTCTTTCATTCCCTCCAGACTTCTTAGTTTCCAAACCCACCACTTGGCTCCTGTACTGTGTTCCTTCCTCCTGTTTCCCCCCACCCCCAGATCCCCCTGCCACTCACAAGTACCCCAGGCAGAGCCAGGCACACAACAGGCAAATAATGAACAGTAATTATTTTCTTTCCCTCTCAATGGCCTTCTACTTCTGGCATTGCACATCTGGCCAAGACGTTTGCTTCTCACCCCCACTTCCTACAGAGCTCTCTCCTCATCTCTTTAAGACAAAGTCAGGGCCCTAGGGAAGAAAGAGAAGTAACTGGACAGTGGCAGCGGAGTAGGGTTGGTCTCACCATTATCAATCACCAAATGAAGCCCTCAGGTCCCCATGCCTAGGCTGCGAAGCTTGGAGGGGGCAGAAAATGAGAAGGGCAAGCCTTTTGGAAAGGCTGGGCTTCTCAGTCCCTTGACCCTGTGAAATCCCCACTTAGGGGAAGGGATAGGTGCACTGAGAGAGTCTTAGTTGACACTGGCTTTGAGACTATGTTAGAGGCAGCACTTTCTCTCTGGCTAGATGTGGGAAAACAGCTCAGGAGGACCGGGATCTTATGCCTCTCTGGACTATGACTCCCCCTCATTATTCTCCCCAAAATGGGCTCCACAGCACTCACATTCTCCATCCCTACCACCCTTCTCCCTTCTTTCTTCCTCCCTGTATATTCAGCTGCTGTCTGCACCCTCAGCAGTGACTCAGCACCACAGCCCACCAGTGATACACTAGGAGACAGTACTTTCTCACACCCCCATGGCCTCCGGATCCCAAAGCATTGTAGGGAAAGACAAAACATGCTTATGCTTCTCCTTTGTCCACTCAACTTTCCTGTGGACCTCCCTATTGTCAGGAAAAGGGGCTACCCCCTTAGGATTACTGCCTCTCACATGTCCTCTGACCACCTACCAACATACACAGGCAGGCACACACAGCACCACCACTCCACTCCAAGAGGAAGAGAGAGAGAGAAGAGGCAGGTATAACACTCAGTGGATACTTAGTGAAGCTATTCCAGGAGCTTCGAGTAAGACTAGGGACTTGAGAAGAACAAATGGAAGGAGGGAGAATATTCTGCAGGTGCAAAATATGAGATATGCCACAGAGAAGCCGATGCAAAGGAAGGTCCTGCCTTGTCCTAGGCTGTGCCCTGAAGGATCATGCTCTTTTGGGAACCGCCTTGGGATGTTAACATGGAACCAGCCCCCCTCAGCCATGGTGGGTCCTTTGGTTTGCCCAGCCCAACACACTTTCTTGCACCATGACCTCCATAAAAGGCTCCGTGAGTGACAAGGGACAGGCCAGAAGGAGACTCCATGCTATCCAAGGGGTTTCAAGTATATGGAGAGTGCCCCTGAGCCTTAGGAAGCACGAACACTCACCAGAACACACCCAGATCCCATGTTCACCCTTTCCCCACAGGTCTTTCTCTTTCTGTTGGCCTCTTACCTGAAGCAAGGGGCAGGCACTGTGGAGGCTGCTGCTGTGATGGAACGGGTCAGCTGCCCGCCACTCATGACATCGTGGGAAGGTGTAAGGGCATCCCTGCATGACCATAGGTTGCATCAGAACCAAGGCTCATGGGGGATGAGGATGAGCAGTGCATCAACCATTGAGCATAAACACCTGGAAGAGAAACAAGGTGAGATTTACAGTAAAGACCTAGACAAGGCCTATTAATCAAGCACTTACCCAAAAGTGCCTTGACCAGTTATGTAAATAAGCATTCAAAGTTTACTGATATACTCAATGGTTTTCCCAGGCCACCATGTAATAGAAAAGCTTTTATTTAGTTGTTGATCAAGAAAGTATTTAATGTTTGTGTAATCTGCTTTGTGCTAGAAACACAAAAATGATTTGCTGAGATCTCACAGCCTAGGGATGGTAGTAGGGGAGATGAGGGGGCAGTCATGTAATCATGTAAGCTGATAAATATAATAAACCACTTACGTGACAAATGCTATAATCGAGGTTTGACCAGAGGGCTAGAGCAGCACAGAGTGGACAACAACTAACTGTATCTGAGAATGTGCAAAGATTTTGGAGAGACTGAATTTGAGATGAGTATTGAAGGATGAGTAGACATTTGCCTTTGCAGAGAAAGGGAGAAGGGCATTCTGTACAGAGGGACTCACCTGTGCAAAGGTGGATGTCATAGAAAGGCTTAGAGTGTTCTGAGAACAGCCAGTTCAGTATGGCTAGTTTAGGAAGCACAGAGATGAAAAAGACATGGTGCCTGCCTCCAAAGAGCTCACATACAGAGAGAACAGGCATGGGAAAAATCAGGCCATAAAGTGTTACTAGCATTAATAATAGAAATATTGATGGGATGGAGTGAACAGATGAATGACGTGAGTTCTATTTGGTCATGTCAGGAAAAGTCTCCCTAGGAAAAAATCTACTTGAGGTGAGTCATGAAAGAGAAATTGGGTTGTCATTAGAGAAGTAAAACAAAAAAGGGCATTCCAAACTATATGAAATAAAATGTATGATGTGACCAGATTACAAGGTAGGTGCCTTGTGGGGAGTAACAGGCTAGGTTGGAAAATGAGACTGTGGCTAGTTTGGGTCATGTCTTGAATGATGAGCAGGGGATTCTAGGCTTTGCCTTATAGACAACAGGGAGGCACTGAAGACTTTAAGCCGGGGTTTGACAGGACTGGATTTGCATTTTAGAAAGAGCCCTCTGGCTGCCGTGTGAAGTGATTCTCCCAGGGGAAGAACCCATTGAGAAACTGTTACAATAGGCAGGTAGTTGTGGTAAGGATCGAGTTGAGAGCATGGTTTTGAGATACACCAAAGAGGTAAAATACAATGTGCTCAGTGATCAATAGATACGAAGCGAAGGGAGATGAATGTGAAGGAGTCAAAGGCTTCTAATTTGGGAGCTGGGTGGAGAATGCCACCAAAACAAGAGAGGGAAGACAGTAGAAGGAACAATTTGGTGTGATAGGGGGTAAGGCAGTGTTCCATAATAAGCTATGCTTGAGACACAGTCAAATTTAGATGTCAGGAGCTAAGCTTAGCAAAGGAAGATATGAGTGAAAAAGGTAGATGCTCAAACCAACTGACAGCTTAGTGAATGTACACAAGTGTAATAAGAATGGGCAACAAAGACAATGCTTGCAAATGATAAAAGTGATATCTTTTAGTACTGGGCAAAGACATGTAAATACTGATCCAAAGGGCAGGAAGTGAGCATCTTTGATTCCTGACACTGATGATTAAAATGCCACCATTTTTAGCCTCTATTTCCGTGGTTCCTAACATTTTGGGTATAAGGGCCCCTTCTTACGATTAACAACAAAATCTCACTTCACCCACTCATACTTACAATAGTAGATGTACTTTTAGTACTTACAGGGTGAGAATAACACTTATCCATTTAAAGATCTGTAGATTCTTTGCATTAAATATCCTTCCCTCCTCTTTAGGAGTTCATGGTCTAAAGATTGGGAACTATTACAGATCACAAAGGTGCAAGAGTTTATGGACAGTTTATTGTAGTCGAAGTCCCTAGAGATTACACAGCTACATAGCATCTCATCCCCAAAGAGATTCCCCAAAGAATGGTTGAAAAGGTGGCTCCCCTCTGATCCGACACCAACATAAAAAAATTAGTACCTCAGATGAAAACGAAGTATTGCTATGGATCTTTTATAAGGATGAAGACTGCAAAAGACTTGGTTTCAGACATCTTCTTATATTAACATTTCTATTTTTGCTGATTATATATGTAATGCACGTTCTTTTTCGAAAAACTGGAAAATACAAAAAATCATAAGGATGAAACTGAAACGAACCTACAACACTACCATCAAGAGATAACCATTGCTAACTGGTATGAAGCCTTACAGTTTTTCTGTGAAAAAAATACACTTTTAAAATAAAACTCTCATCATATGATATTATATATATATGTATATATATATGTACATATATATATAATTTAGTATTGTGCTTTTTTTCATTTTCCATATATATCACAGTCATTTTAGAATGCCACTAACTATTCTTCTAAAGCATGAATTCTAATGGCTGAATAGGTAATAGAGCACTATGGTTGAAACCATGGGTTTTGGCATCAGACAGACCTAGAGTCAAATTCATACTATTCAACCTATTAGCAGTGTGGCCTGAGACAAGTTAACCTCTCTGAACTTCAATGTCTTCATCTGCAAAAGGGGATGACAGCAATACTCCCCTCACAGAATTGTTCTAATAATTAAAATTAATAATGTTTTCAAATAACTTAGCAAAGTATCTGCAAACAGTACACTGCTTAATAAATGTTAGCTGTAATCACTGTTGTACACTATTCCATTGAATGGATATACCTTATTTTATTTTAACAATTAGAGATATAAGTCACACTGTAATGAACAGCCTTGTGCACATTTGTACTTCTTTCCTTAGTATAATTTCCTAGAAGAGAGAATTCCTGGATCAAAGGGTATGAACCAATTTTAGGCTTGTGATGCATACTTCTAAATTGCCCTAGAAAAAACGTTAGATCATTTTATACTACCACCAGCAAGGTGTGACAATGCCAGTTTCCCAGCATACTTGCCAAGAGTGAAATAAGTCAGATGGAGAAAGACAAATACCATATCATCTCACTTAAATGTGGAATCCAAAGAACAAAATAAACCAACAAACAAAACAGAAACAGACTCATAGATACAGAGAATAAACTGATGGTTACCAGGTGGGAGAGAGGTTGGGAGGCTGGGTGAGAAAGGTGAAGGGATGAATAAGTGCAAATTGGTAATTACAAAATAATCATGGGGTATAAAGTACAGTATGGGGAATATAGTCAATAATATGGTAATAACTATGTATAGTGCCAGATGGGTACTAGACTTAACGGGGGAAATCACTTCATAAATTATATAAATGTCTAACCACGACATTGTATACCTGAAACTAATATAAAGTAATATTGAATGTCAACTATAATTTTAAAAAGTCACAGGGATATATAGTACAGTATAGGAAATATAGCCAATGATATTCTAATAACTAGGTACAGTGTCAGATGGGTAAAAGACTTATTGGGATGATCACTTTGTGAGGTATATAAATGTCTCATCACTGTGCTTGCTGATTTGTACACCTGAAGCTAATAAAATAAAATAAAATTGTTGCCAAATTTGTAAGTGATGATGGCATCTTGAGGATTATTTTCTATTTCCTTAATTATTAGAGATACTTAACTTTTCACCTACATTTTTAGTGGCAGGTGTATTTCTTCTTTCATGAACTATCTCTTTTTCTCTTGAGATTCACCTCTCTACAGATTAACTTCCTGACCTGATGTTAGGCTCATGTTTCACAAACAAAAATAAAACAAATGCAGGAGTCAGAGAACTCGGATCTTCAAATCCCAATGTAGGCAGAAAAGGAATAAACTCCTTTTGGTCCAAGCATGACTATCCTCTGCTATTTTCAGACTTTGCCACTGAAGTCATTTCAGACTTTGCCACCTCAAGTCATTTCTCCTCTCTAGACCTTGGTTTGCTAATCTATACGATGTTAATGTTTAAGAGTTGCCCCACATTAGGGCCGGCCAAGTGGCTCAGTTGCTTAAGAGCTCGCTCAAGAGTTTGAGCTCTGAGCAACAGCGGTTCGAGTCCAGCCCGAGCTGAGCAGCCGCTGAGCTGCCAACAGGTAGCAGGATGGCTCAGCTAAAAAAAAAAAAAGTTAGAAGAGTTGCCCCACATGAAAACCTTAGCATTCCCTGTATTTGCACAGCATGCTTTTGTATCTTGCTGTACTGTCTTTCTTGATCCTGAGTACAACCTAGTAAGGTTGGCCTAGCCAGATTTAGGATCCCATCTGACAGATGAAGGTGCTGAGTGAACGTGGGCCTCCTGACTCATGGCCAGTGCTCTTTGTTCTACACAAAGAATCTTCTTTCTGCCTCTCTATCTCCATCCTGTCCCAAATTACCACCTGTACATGCTGATTCTTTTCCTATTCCTCCTTCTAATTTGCAGAGGCCGTGAGGAATTGGAGATGAATCCAATTTGGTCCCCAACTGGTCCAGTGTAGGAAATAAGACATATAACAAAAAAATATATAGATCAAGGGAGAAAATAAGTTACACGTTAAGTGGGACACAGAAATCATGCTATAAGACGTCACAGCAGAGGAAGTCTTTGCCTTAAATTGGAGGGATTTTGGATGTATTTATGGAAGAGATGCTTTTGAGCTAAGGTGAGAGAGAACATTTAGACACATGGAGTAGTGTGGAGGGTGCTTTTGGGGTGTAACTAACTCTTCTGTGCTCTACACTAGGCGTCCTGACAGATATCAAGCTGTGGCTGATTGCCCCTAGGAATACTCTTTTCCTGGCTCTCAAAGCCAAACGCAGGCCCTTCCAGGAGTATTGGAGGCAGGGGAGAGCCATTGTTTCTCTTGGGCAGAGACAAAAGCTTTAAAAACACATGGGATTTCAGCATGAAAGCAAGATTGTTGGCTTGTGGAGGACAAGGTCCATGTCCGATATTTATTTCTATTCCACACATTGTTAACACAGTGCCAGGCACAGTGATTTACTGAATTGAACTCCAATTAGGTAAGTGTACAGGACTTGAACTTTATAGGTACAAATCCTAGGAGCATGAAGAGAAAGGCCTTCCTTGCATTTCTGTGAAAGGCTCTGTGCAGAATGTTAGCATTTGAAACAAGGCTTCAAATGGAAAAACAAAACAAAATAAAAACCTGCAAACGACCTAAATGGTCATTACTAGAGGACTAGTTAAATGATTGTGTATTCATACAATGGAATTCTATGCAGCTATTAAAAACAGAATTAAGAACTCTTTATGTGCCAACATGGAATGATCTCTTAAGATATACTTTTAAGTAAAAAGAAAACAAAAAAAATAAGGTGGTTAGTTTACATTTGTGTAAAAAAAAGGAAAAAAAATATATATATACACAATAAATTATCTTTGGAAGTATTACAAAGGAACCTTTTAACATTGTTTGCTTTTGGAGAAGGGAACCAAGTGGCTACTAGACAAGTTGCGAGAATTCTCTCTATTCCTTTGAAATTCTTCCCTGTTTTCCTTCTTTTTAAAACTGAGAAATACAATATGATTACAAAGAAGTGCATAAACCATACATGTAAAATATATTGATTTATAAAGCAAATCCCCATATAATCACTGCTTGGGTTGAGAAATATATACACAAAATAGATCCACAAAAGCCTTGTGTTGCCAATCGGAGACCTAGTTTTTATGGAATATCCTCTTATACCTTTTGAGTATTGAACCATGTGAATATATTAGCTATTTAACAGCTACTTTCTCTTTCTCTCCCTCCTTCTCTCCCTGCACTCCTCACTAAAATGCCATGGACGTCTTCAACTGTTTTATGTGGACTGGTGTAGCAGCTTTTCCATAGCCTAACAAATAATAGCAGTTAGACTTACTGTATTCCACATTTTACATATATTAATTAATCAGGCTACATACATCCAGTCATTTAACCCTATGAAGCAGTTCCTATGTTGTCTTCATTGTACAGATAATAACATGGCAGCACAGAGGCAGAAAGTAACTTGTTCAAAGTGATATTGTGAATAGGAGGTGAGGAGCTGGGCAGGCGTGTCCCAGAATACAAGTTCTTCACTGTTACACTATTCTGCCTCTCTAAATTCTAGAGCCCAGGTTCTGAGGCACTATAGTCATTGACCCCTAACAAGTAAAGATTTTTGGCTATGGGCCACCAGGTGGGAGCCAAGGGTTGACTCAGTCATGCCACTACCCAGGCAAAGACACGAGCAGTTGAGAATGGACATGATGCAGAGTCTGGGGTCTCCAGTATCCCCCAGCTGTCAAACCCTACAGAGCATTTAAATGACCTTCCTAGAAAAATAACTAAATATATGACCTTCCTAGAACACCTGAGAATTTAAATTCTGGACAACGCTCCTAGTGTGACCTGAGAGCTTCCCCAGTGCCTTAGAGCTCAGTAAATACTTTTTGAATGAATGAATAAGCTCTTTCCACCTATAAACTGGAGAAGTGCAGGAACCTGTCCTACAGAAATACTTGCAGACTGCAAGAGGATGTATGCTGCAGTATTGGTCGCAATAGCAAAACTCTGCAATCAGTTCAAATCCCCACGCACAGGGGACTAGTGGATTATTTTTTTTTGGAGCCAGGACGCTCGGGTTTGCATCCGGGCTCCGCCACTTATCAACACAGGTTTGTTCAAGCTCCCTGATCTTACTGTGCTTCAGTCCCCACATCTGCAAAACAGGGATAGCAAAAAGACCTACCTCATAGCCTTGTTGCAAAAAGTTAATTAATAGTTTTTGACATGTAGTAGGGACTCACATCTTATCTATTATTGTAGCCACTCACACAATGAACTATTATGTAGCTGTTAAAAAGAGAGACGTAGATCTCTTTTTTTGAACAGATGCCGAAGATATATATTTTAGAAAGAAGAAAACAAGTGTTAGAGTAATATGCCTGGTAGAACTCCAATTTTGTAAAAAACATTTGAAAAAAATCTATGTGTGTGTGTGCACAGAGAGAAAGCCTGCAAGGACACAAAAACTGTTCAGCAACATTGCTTCTAGATAGTTGTGGGAGGGGGACTCTCCTTTTGACTTTATATACTTTGTGTGTGTGTGTGTGTATAAATATCTATATCTATATATACATATGTATGTATATTATATATATATATATATAATTTACAACAAGTATTTATTACTGTTGGAAGAAATAAAGAAACAGGGAAGACTTCTAATTCATGAGAGTCTCAGGAAAAAACAGGGCAGTGGGAAAAAGAACCCCTTCACGTGTGCTAGAGATTCCTCTCCCCAATCCAAGGTAACGCTGCATAACGGCCCTCTCTCACAGCACTGCCTTTCTACTTGACAGCATGGCACTAAGAGACGAGACACACATTTCACTGGTATGGAACCTTGTTATGCGTTCCTAAAATAATTCCTGCAATGTAGTCAGAAACCAAGGTTCTGCTTCAGATGCTCTCACTTAATGAATAAAACATGGAAACTCAGATTGTCAGGCTGGAAGGGATCTTAGAGATTATCTAGGTGAAACCCCTCATTGACAAAAAGAAACAATGAAATATGTTCCTGAGAAGTTATTAGCTGTCAAGTAATTTTGAAAAATAAAATTTATTTGTGACAAAAATCAGAGACGCAGCCCATGGGGAGAATTTTATTCCAAGAGCCAATTAATGCACCACATCTGAAACCTTTATACACTGCTGGTGGGAGTATAAGTTAGTAAACCATTTGGAAGAGCGATTTGACGACATCTCCCAAAGGTCAAGATTCTCAGACCCTGTGTTGGGACAATTCCCTTCTAGATATACATCCAATAGCAACAGTCACATAACAATATCTATACAAGAATTATCATAGTAGCCCTGTGAGCCAAAAACTGGAAATAGTCTAAAATGCCAATAAACAGCAGAATGGATAAATAAATCATGGTATATTCAACAAATGGAATGCTATACAATGGTGAAAAAAATGAATGAACTAGAGCCACATGTCACAATATGGATGAATTTCACAAATATAGCACTGAATAGAAAAAACAAATTGGAAAAGAATTCATATCATTGGTGTACATTTTTAAGACATATAAAGCAGTTGTATAGGCTGTTTTAAGACACAGACATCTGTAGCGAAAGTACAAATAAATGCATGAGAATAAGAAAAACACCAAATCCAGGAGAGGGGTTACTTTGGAGGGAGGGAGGGAAGAGAGAGCTTTAATCATAGAATGATAGACAGAGGGTTTTAACTCTACCAGGAATGCTTTTTCTTAAGCCGGGTGGTGGGTAATCAGATTTTCATTATATTATCTTTATATCGCTTTGAATATGTAAAATTGTTCATAACACATTGTTTAAAAGAATGCAACAAATCCCATGGTGAAAGGAAAATACACAGTTTTCTGATATAACAACATACTAAGAGAAATGTATAAGACATGCTGTACTCACAATGACAGGATTGTGTGTTCCTTAAACCTGCTTCATTTTCCTGGGATTAGTGTAACAGGAGGGAACCTGCTAGAGAAGCAGCAGTTGGGCACAGTGGACTGAGAATCAGGAGATGAGGGTTCTACTCTCTGATACTCATCGGCTATGGGAAGGAGAACAATTTGATGAACCTCTCCATATTTATCACATTTAAAAATGCAGTGTTGGAATAGATTATATTACAAGTTTTTTTCCCCGTGACAATTTCTTCCAGCTCTTTTTTGTTTGTTAGTGTTTGAGCAGCAATTCCCAACACTGTGTCTACAAGACGCTGAAGTGTTTCCCATGTAGAAAAGTGTTCCCTGGTCAAACCAATGTGGGACATATTACATTAAACAAAACACAACAGATTTATTTAAAGCAGCACTTCTCAGAACCTTTAATATGTGTATATACATTGTGACTCTCCAAGAGGAGAGTTCAGCTTTAAAGCATTTTCAAAAAATTATTGGACAGTAGAATGCACCCACCCACCCACACACACACACTCCTTATTTTAAAACAGAATACATGAATATTGTCTCAGAACAGTGTTCTGTGGAACATCGGTTTGGTAAATGCTGTCCTCAAAGGATTTATCTTGCTTGCTATTTTAGTTGTTGCTGTGTGTGTAGAATCCTTTGTAAAGGAGGAATGTAGTTTCCTAGTGTGATTTCCACAGAGTGGGTTCCTTTTGAGTCTCCCTGGCAAGTTTAGAAGGCTGATATCTCTTGGGCTTCGTTAGTGAGAGCCATCCTATCTGGCACTCTGGCAGATTTAACATGAGAAACTTCTGCATAGCTATGGTTCAAAGCGCTGCATCCCAGATGTGCTCTCTGCAACTGGCTCTTGGGTCTTTGCTAAGTTCGCTACTTCAAGCCACCCTCCCTTACTTTGGATGATTGTGGAGTTGAGACGTGCTGAGAGCTACTTAGCAAAGAATACCTGGGTGAACAACTCTCACAGGAAGAGGAGCCCTTTTGATGTGCCTTCATCCCCAGCGATTGTTTGCAGGAAGCAGGGCTGTAGGGCGGAGGCCGGCCCACTCAGGCAACGAGGGGCTCAGTTTTCTTTCAGGGACAGGACACTTACCACTTCATCTCTTAGCCCTGCCTTTTCAGGGGGGTTTCCTTAGAAGGCCCTGAGGTTCTCCGGAACCATCCCCCCACCCAGATCCCAGAGGGAAAATCTCCTGAAGTTTGTGGTCCCCACAGGGCCTTTTAAAGGGTCATTTACTTGAGGGCCTTTCATCTAGAAACAAGGATTCCTTTGGAAAAGTCTGGAGCTAAGGTGCACTAGACAGAGCTTTATAAAGGCTTTTGTTTTTTCGAACAATCAAAAAGAAAACATAAGAGAAAAGTACGTTCTTTTGCAGACAGCATGCACCACACTCTAAATGGAAGCAGGCATCTGTGGCTGCTGCCATCCCTCCCTCGCTACTTCACTCCACCCCAGCCCAGGCCGGCCCAGCCCAGCCTCGGCTCCCTTCTTAGACCCAACACCCAGGTGGCCTGCCTTCACCTGCCTATCAAAGGCAGGATAAGCCTTAACTCCCCACACACTCTCAGGCCCAGTAACCAGGCTGGGGCATTGGGTCTGATGCAGGGGAATGGTAAGGAGAGCAAAAGAAAGGGGTGTTTGACTTCAGGAGAGGTAAGCCCAATTTCAAAGCACTCCAAGCTATGCTCCCAGGAGTAGAGGTACCTCCTGATTACATGGGGTAGAAAGGAAACCAAGGGAAGAACTAGGGGGAAATGCAACAGGGAAGCCGGACTGAGCAAGGAAGTAAATGCAGAAGAGTTGAGTAGGTGCCTTCCACCTCAGGATCCTAGGTCAGAGCCCCGTTTACCCCAGGGAAGCCCTCCTGTGTCCTGCCTGTGGGCCAAATACTCATTTGTTTAGGGAACCTGCTCTGAGGTCCCATGTTGCCTCTCTCCTCCCTTTTCAGCCAATGTTTTCCACATTCCTTCCTTTCCCTCCTGCCAGGAAATCCACCCATGGACAAAAAGCATGTCATTGAGAACAAACATAAATAAAGAAATAAAGGAACACTTAAATAATACCCCTCTCCCCTCAAAGAAGCAAATTGTGGACCTGCCTCTTGTTCATTAGTTGCTCAAATTGGCTTGAGTTTCTGGGCATCTTTCAGCCCCCCTCTATGAATCCAAGTGGTGGCTACTTCATTATGGATATGTTTTTAATGCAAGTTTTCCCCCAAAGGCACACGCAGGCAGCAGGCAGGCAGGCGTGCGCACGCGCCCGCACGCGCACACACACACACACACACACACACACACACGCAGCACCTCTGGTGCTTCCCCTCCCTCAGTCATTTCCCCTCAGTCAGCAGAAAAAGGGTGAGACTTAGAAATCATTTCTCTGTGGCCTACCTTCTGAGTCCGTCAGGTCTGAGGAACGTGCAGCAACTGGGAGCTGGGAGGCTGGGGCTGGACTGGCTCTGTGAATCAGCAAAGAAGTCCCTGAGACAGGGATGCTGACAGCTGCTGTATGCACCCTCTCCCTGTCTCTCCCTCCTCCCTGCCCTCCTCCTTCTCCTCCTCCTCCTCCTCCCCTCTGAGCCGCTCTGTGTTGCTATGCAATCATATCACCAGGACTAACAGCATCACTCCAACCTTGGGCAAAGATACCCTTGACTGGGCAAACGCAGCAAGAGCAAGGACAGTTTGGTCAAACTCCCAGAGCCTTGGCGGCTCTCAGAGATTTTAATTCATTAGAAGCAGAGGAAGCAAGCGGGAGAGGCGGAGAGGCAGAGGGGGAGAGGCGGAGAGGCTTCCACTGAGGAGGAGGAGGAGACAAAAGAGGCACGGAGATCAATACAAGCTGCTGAGTGAGGAGCCTGGGCCCCAACTTCCACAGCTCTAGCCCAGAGCCAGAGCCAGCTTCAGAGCTAGCAGCTGGCAGGGCCCCTGGGTACCCAGGCCAAAATTCAGTTTCTGTGCTGGAGGTTGAAACACTCAGCTCTAGAATCTGCACTGGTATGCAAGGTACAGTCTTGGGCCCAGGGCAGTCTTCCAGTCACCCCTAAATTCCATCCTCACCCCCTCTTAGATCTACATGTAGAAAAAACCTCAATAAAAGAGAAATAAAATGGACCTTGAATGATCTGAGAAAACACAGTCCTCCGTGTCCCCCCTCAACAACTACCCCAGTCACTCTCCCTCCTGTCCACACCAACTCGTACTCTTTCCACTAGCACCCCTGTCAGCGAGTAGAGGCTTCAAACACCCTGAGAGACCTGGGCAAAGCCCTGAAAGGATGGAGGGGATTACATCTCTTGATGGGGTGCCCAGCACACAGTAGTTTACCTAATAAATATGTGTGGGATGAGTAAATTGAATGGATGGATGGATGGATAGCAGTCAGAAACCCCCATCCCCATCCCTCCACACAAACATACTCATACTTAAAGCTCTAGATGCTCCAGGCCAGGACAAAGGATATGAGGAGCATTCTTCTTTCTGAGAACAGGGTGTATAGAGGAGAAAGAGAAACAGATTGGTTTGTGGGTGGGTTGCTTAACTTCATTGATTTGCCTCTAAAAACTCTGTAAGTGCTGATGGCACTGGGATTTAGTTAGAACAGAAAATACTTCCTGACATAAAAACTGTCTGCAAGGACTGAGGAGTATTATCATTGCTGTTGTTGCTGTTGTTATCATTACTGAAAACCCTCAGCTAGGAAATAACTAGTGTGTATGTGTGTGTGTTTTCTTTTGAGAGGAAATTTTAAAACCTTAGGCTGTACGTTTCAGTAAAAGGTTTGTAATAAGGCCTGATCTCCTCTTCAAAACAAGCAAACAAAATGGGAACCAACTGGCCCCTCCCCCAAGCTGAGTGGCTCCTCCTGTCTGGCCAAAGCGGCAGCAGCCAGGCCCCTATGCAGGCGCAGAAAGGGCCTTTGATTTCTGAAGGGGAGTTCAGAAGCACATCCGGCTTCTCAATCTACATACCCTCAACAGCACATTTCTTAGCTCCCCAGCCTCACCCAGGCCTGGCCCTGAGTCTCGGCCCCAGTCTTCACCCTGGCAGCTTGCAGGGTTTGTCAAGACCATCCAGATCCAGGGCCTCAGGAGTCCTTTACAATTGACTTGGAATGACTTGGAAGGGGGAGCTGGCTCGAGAAAAGACCAGAGGGAACACTCTGAGGAATTGTTTGGGCTGGCACAAACACAGAATGACGGCGACAGACACACACTCAACACATGGGAACCTGACTCACTGCTCACCCCTGGCACTAGCTCATCAGCATGCTGAACAACACTGGAGTCTAGAAGGAAGAAGGGGAGTGAGCTGGGTAGGGTACTTGCTCCCCACTCTGACTGCAGCTGGACTTGCCCAGATCAAAAGAAGCACTTGGAGTAATCCTTTACTTTTCTCTTTTTACCCCTAGAGAAAGCGTTCAGGCTGCAGATACAAAAATACAGTATCAGCCTCCATGAAAATAAACGCACAGAGTTTGTTTTGAGGGGTGTAACGAAAGGCTTCCCCAAATCTCTTTCCCACTGACCCAATCATGATGGAAAAGACCTCCTTCCTGGTTCCTTTGCTCAAGGGATCAAGGGCTCCTGTGAAAATTAGAATTTTACCTATGAGACGAAAAAACATTAAACCATTATCAGCTAGCAAAACCTAAGATTTCATTATTAGATTATAAAAATAACAATAATAATGGCTAACACTGAGCATTTACTACAGGATAGGCACTGAAGTCCTTTGCACATGTTATTAGCTCATTACATCCTCACGGCAAACTTAAAATCGCTTCTATTATTACCCCCATTTTACAGATGAAGCACCGTAACTTAGTGAGGTTAAATGGCTTGCCCAAGGTCACGTAGCTAGTGCATTATGGAGCCAAGACTTACCCTAGATCTCTCTGGACAATGTCCACATGATTAATCACTGTGCATACTGCCTCCATTCACCTACTGGTGGCCTGATCATATGTCACACCTAGTAGATCGTTAAGACAAATGTGACTAGAGTAGAATTCCCCAGATAATTTTTCTGTCCTTTGTGCCTTTTCTCAAGCTATTTCCTCTCCTCAAAATGTCTCTCTTTCCTTTAGAGGTCAGAGACACAAGGGACCTTAGAGGTCAGACGTCTCTCTCTGAGGAGTTCCAAGTGAGTAGGCTCCACAAAAAATTGGTTAAGGCTATGAATGGAGTGTGAAAAGGAAAAGACAAATGACCTTGAGATGAGGTAAAGTTCTCCAGTTTGCTAGGGTCCCCACACGGCTCCTGCAGGCTTATCAGTGTGTGTCATCTCATAGACCACTGATGGTGCACTTGTTACTGCTGTTGGTCTTCTGGGGTATTTGGAGGAGGGTTGTTTGGTTTTTGTTTCCTGGAGGGTGTTGAGATGGGTAGTTCCTAGTTGTGTTTCAGAAGAGGTCACATCTTTGCTTACTGTCACAACTGGACAGAAAAGTCCACTCTGACATGTAAACCCCAGGAAGACTTATTTTCACCCTGGACAAACCAGGGCAAGCACATAGACTAGCTTCGACTATTTTTCTGAGGAGGGCAAAGAAAGATTAAAGTGGTTCCGTGACAAGCTTTGAGTGTGGCTCTACTCTGCTAACCTATAGGAGGATGTTTGAGACCCACCCTGGTATCACTGAGCAAGACTTTGCTAAGTGGACAAGGGTAGGTAGGGCAATTCAGGTAGGGAGAAAACAAGTGCAAAGACAAAGGTCAGAGAAGATGGTTTGCTAAGGGACTGTAAGTACTAGTTAAGTACGGCTAAGTTAAGACAGGGTAACAGGTGGGAAATGGGAAAAGGTAGCAAGAGATAAACCTCTGGAAGCACACAAGGAGGGTGCTAGAATACCATGCAAAGGATTATCTAAGTTTGTTTTCGTTTGTTTGTTTTAAGGCAAGCAGCCTTTTGGTGCTGATTACTTTGTAGTGTATACAGATGATGAATTATAATGTTATACACCTGAAACTTATATAATGGTATATACCAATTTTATCTCAATTTTAAAAAGGCAAGCACCATGGTCAGGTTTATGTTTTAGAAATATGATTCTAATGGCTTTCATCCAAAGGACGATAATTGAGTGCCTACTACACGCTAGGTCTGTGTTAGTCTCCAGGGACACAGAGAAGACTCAGAAACTGCCTCCAAGTTGCTCACAGCTTAATGGGTGAGACAATTAACTAACATATATTGGGTCTTTGGAAAAGTCATGATGCATGTTTGTGACAGATGGCACTAGTTCATTTTTGGAAGTACTAGAGTCATTCACATCTATGTTATTGCTATGTCATTTGACAGCTGACAGTTCTAGCTTCATTCTAAAAAAAACTGACCCATTTTGGTTGAGTTTTGGAGATTTTACAACAAGTTGAAAATGGAAGACCAAACTGTGCATTTTTGCCATATTTTACTGTTTTCCTTCCATAAAGGGAAGAACAAGCGTCAAGCTTGTGAAAATTTGCATAAAGTTTACGGTGACAATGCTCTACAAGAATTTCAGTGCCAATGATGGTTCATGAAATTTCGTGCTGGTGATTTTGACCTCAACGATGCTCCTCGGTCAGGGAGGACCATCGAGGTTGATGACAACAAAATAAAGGCATTGATTGAGTCAAACCCACGTTACACGACACGAGAGATTGCAGAAACATTGAACATCCATCATTCAAGCATTCATGACCACCTGAAGAAGCTGGGATACGTAAGCAAGCTTGATATTTGGGTTCCGCATGAACTCATAGATGTTCATTTGACGGCGCATATAAACATCTGCAATATGCTCATTAAACGTGAGGAAAATGATCCTTTTTTGAAGCAACTGATAACTGGTGATGAGAAGTGGATTGTTTACAACAATGTGGTGCACAAACGGTGTTGGTCCTGACGTGATGATTCGCCTCAAATGACATCGAAAGCAGACATTCATCAGAGGAAGGTTATGCTCTCAGTGTGGTGGGATTTTAAAGGTGTCGTGTTTTTTGAGCTTCTCCCAAGGAAGCAAACAATCAATCCAAATGTGTACTGTTGGCAATTGGACAGTTTGAATGAATCCATCATCCAGAAACGTCCAGAGCTCGTTAGTTGTAAAGGAGTTGTGTTCCATCACGACAATGCAAGACCACACACAAGTTTGATCACCCGTCAGAAATGATTGGAGCTTGGATGGGATGTGTTGCCACACCCACCATATTCGCCTGACCTTGCGCTGTCAGACTTCCAATTGTCTCACTCTCTTCAAAACTCCTTGTGTGCTATAACATTCAATTCAGATGAGGCTGTAAATCAGCACCTTGTTCAGTTTTTCGCAAATAAAGACAGGTCCTTCTATGAATGAGAAATTATGAAGCTCACTGAAAGGTGGAAGGTTATTGAACAAAACGGGCAATATATCATTGATTGATCTTTGTTCTTTATATAAATAAATGACCTTTGAAAAACATAGACAAAATACGTCATGACTTTTCCAAAGACCCAATAGAATAGAGTGGTAAGCGCAATGAAGGATGGACAGGGA